GAAGGATGAGGATTGGAAAAAGACACACCGGAAGGTCGTCAGTTTAATTAGGCAGTGGGTGGATATATGCATATTCCACCATGTTGCCACAGAGACGAATGCCCAGACTCTGTGGAACAAAATTGAACAAATGTATCAAAGGAAGACTGCACAGAATAAAGCTTTCGTTATTCGGAAGCTGGTGAATTTAAAATATCAAGATGGAAGATCAGTTGCAGAACACTTGAATGATTTCCAACACATGGTAAACCAGCTAGTTACCATGGAGATAAAACTTGATGAAGAATTGCAGGCGCTGTTACTTTTGAGTTCTTTACCAGATAGCTGGGAGACTCTGGTGGTGTCATTAAGCAACTCTGCTCCTGAAGGAAAATTGACTTTGTCTCAAGTCAAAGACAGCATGTTTAATGAAGAAACAAGGAGAAAAGACTCTGGGCAAGCAGTTCCCATGCCCTTGTCACAGAGAACAGGGGGAGAAGTAAGAGCAGAGGACGAAGTAACAAATCCAGAGATAAGTCATAGTCTCAGCCCAGAAGAAAATTTAAGTGTTACCACTGCGGTGAAGAAGGGCACATCAAAAGAAATTGTAAAGCCTGGAAGAACAGAGAGAAGAAAGACCGACGAAACTCTAGATCGGATGACGATGAAAATACTGCATCCCCTGTGACAACTGGAGATGTGGTAGTACTATCTGTTGAAGAAGAAGAAGAGTGTCAAGTTACAGACTCATGTGATGAATGGGTCATTGACTCAGCAGCATCTTATCATGCAACTTCTCACAAGGACTTCTTTACTGTGTACAAAGCAGGAGACTTTGGTAAAGTAAAGATGGGCAATAGCAGTATCGCAGATATTGTGGGAATTGGTGATGTGTGCATTCAAACCAATACAGGATGCACAATAACACTAAAAGATGTGCGTCATGTGCTAGATCTGCGTCTGAATTTGATCTCTGTGCGTGCTTTGGATCTAGCTGATTACGACAACCATTTTGGTAACGGCAAGTGGAGGCTTACCAAAGGATCGTTGTTGGTTGCTAGAGGCACAGTAAATTCAACGTTGTATAAAACTCAAGTGAAGCTGATTAAGGGCGGATTGAATGCAGTCGAGGATGATGCTTCACCAAATTTGTGGCACAAAAGATTGGCTCATATAAGTGAAAAAGAATTGCAGATTTTGGCAAGAAAGTCCCTTATCCCGTTTGCCAAAAATAAAAAGCTGAATCCTTGTGATCACTGTTTGTTTGGCAAACATCATAGAGTGTCTTTCAGCAAAACGTCGAAGCTGAAAGAGAATATTTTGGAGATGGATCATTCTGATGTATGTGGACCCATGGAAGTGGAGAGTCTTGGTGGTAGCAGATATTACGTGACGTTTATTGATGATGCTTCACGAAAATTGTGGGTGTACTTCTTAAGAACGAAGGACCAGGTTTTTCAATGCTTCAAAAGGTTTTATGCAATGGTGGAGAGACAGGCTGGTAAACCTTTGAAGTGTCTTCGCACGGATAATGGGGGTGAATATACTTCCCATGAATTCAAGAATTATTGTGCTGAGCATGGCATCAGGCATGAGAAGACGGTACCTGGAACCCCACAACATAATGGTGTGGCCGAACGAATCAATAGAACCATTATGGAGAAAGTAAGATGCATGTTAAGAATGGCAAAACTGCCTAAGCCATTCTGGGGTGAAGCTGTTCTAACGGCAAGCTACCTTATTAACCGATCTCCATCTGTTCCTTTGGGCTTCGATATCCCTAAGAGAGTATGGTCCAGACATGATGTTAAATACTCTCATTTGAAAGTGTTTGGATGCAAAGCTTTTGCTCATGTGAGTAAGGAACGAAGACAAAAACTTGATGATAGAGCCAATCCTTGCATATTTCTGGGCTACGGAGATGAGGAATTTGGCTACAGGTTATGGGATCCAGAAAATAAGAAAGTTATTAGAAGCAGAGATGTAGTATTCCATGAGCAAGAAACTATGTCGGATTCTGCTTCACCAAAAATCAGAGAACCAGGTGGTAAGGTTGATCTCACACCAATTGTTTCTCCTAAAAATGCCACAGTAGGGGGAGAGTGTGATGGAGAACTTAGGGTTGATAATGAGCCAGCAATAGAAGATGGTGATGATGAAGGTGTTGAGCAAGAAAACCCAAAAGCTCCACCTCAGCATCGGAAATCAAGTAGACCACACCAGCCATCTACAGAGTACCCTAATTCGACGTATATTACCATCACTAAAGAGGGGGAGCCAGAAAACTTTGAAGAAGTTCAGACTCATAAGGATAAATCCCAGTGGATGAAAGCCATGCAAGAAGAAATGGATTCCCTAGTGAAGAATGATACTTATGAGTTGGTTAAGCTCCCTAAAGGCAGAAAAGCCTTGAAAAATAAATGGGTGTTCAAGCTTAAGAAAGATGGTGACAAGTTGTTGAAGTACAAGGCTCGCTTAGTCATAAAAGGTTTTGGACAAAAGCGAGGAATAGATTTTGATGAAATCTTCTCTCCAGTTGTGAAGATGAGCTCTATTCAAGTTATACTCGGATTGGTGGCTAGCTTGGATCTGGAGCTTGAACAGCTAGATGTAAAGACTGCGTTTCTTCATGGAGACCTTGATGAAGAAATCTACATGGAGCAACCATAAGGTTTTGAGGAGACTGGAAAGGAGCATATGGTTTGCAGATTGAAGAAGAGCTTGTATGGATTGAAACAGGCTCCAAGACAGTGGTATAAGAAATTTGACTCGTTCATGGCGAGTCATCGATATGCCAAGACTGGTGCAGATCATTGTGTATTTGTCAAGACATTTCCAGGTGATAAATTCATTATTCTTCTGTTGTATGTAGATGATATGTTGATAGTGGGACAGGATGCGAAGCTGATTGGTGATTTGAAGAAGGAATTGTCAAAGTTTTTTGATATGAAAGATCTGGGCCCTGCAAAACAGATTTTGGGCATGCAGATCATGCGAGACCGAAAATCCAAGAGGTTGTGGTTATCGCATGAACGGTATGTGAATCGAATTCTGGACAGATTCAACATGAAGACGGCTAAACCAGTTAGTACACCGTTGGCCAATCACTTCAAACTCAGCAAAAGAAGTTGTCCTACAAGTCAAGAAGAAAAAGAAGCTATGGCGGGTATTCCATACTCCTCAGCAGTCGGGAGTTTGATGTATGCCATGGTTTGTACGAGGCCAGATATAGCTCATGCGGTCGGAGTTGTTAGCAGGTATCTTTCCAATCCTGGAAAAGAGCATTGGGAAGCAGTGAAGTGGATCTTGAGATATCTGAAAGGTAGTTATAATATGTGCTTGAGCTTTGGAATACCTAACCCAGTTCTTGAAGGATACACAGATGCAGATATGGCAGGTGACCTGGATAGTAGAAAATCTACTTCAGGACTTGTGTTTACCTTTGCAGGGGGAGCTATATCTTGGCAATCCAAATTGCAGAAATGTGTGGCCTTATCAACTACTGAAGCTGAGTATGTTGCCATGACTGAAGCAGGAAAGGAAATGCTTTGGTTAAAGAGGTTTCTTTAACAACTGGGAATTGAGCAGAAAAGGTACGTTATCCATTGCGATAGCCAAAGCGCATTGGATTTAAGTAAGAATGCGATGTATCACTCTCGCACGAAGCACATTGATGTCAGATATCATTGGCTGCGTCAGGCAGTGGAAGAACAAGAGTTCAAGCTAGATAAGATTCACACGGATAAAAATCCTGTTGATATGATGACGAAAGTTGTTGCACGAGAAAAACATCAACAATGTGTCAAGCTGATTGGCATGGATCGCATGTGAAGATTCCAAGAGTGCATCTTTGTGCTGGAGGGGGAGAATTGTGATGTCCAGCACATTTCAGTGATTCAGTGCCGTTTTTTTTTACTCCCTAAACAAATAAATAATATTTTAATAAGTGAATAGTAACTTCATTTGGCTATAAATAGCCGTGAGGAATGAAATTGAGGGGCGCATCGCAAGAGTATTTATCAAGCATTGATAGAATTCTAGTGCGAGAAAAAAAAATAGAGTGTTGAGTAAATCCTAAGAATGTGAGAAAAATATACTGGGGTGGGTATCATCTTTATTTCTTCTTGGTATTACAAAATTTGTAATATTTGAATAGGAAGTGGGTCTCACTGGGTACACTATATTTTACATCTCTTGTGTGATAGAGTGTTGAAAGGATATTGTAAATATCCCGAGATATAGTGAAATATTTTTCGAAGTTTGTCCTGTGGTTTTTCTTCCACATTGGAGGTTTTCCACGTTAAATATTGGTGTTCTTTATCTGCTTATTTTATTCAGTTAGAATAATTCTTAGTATGCTTTGTGGTTGCAGTTTAGTCTGATCTTCCACATCAGAAAAGAATTATTTCTGTTATCCTTCCGTGGCTGATTGTTGGATTGTTGGATAAGTGTGTTATTTGTATTAGTGTTGTAACTGGAAAAGTTCTGGCTAAAGAAAGACTTGGTATTTAAGTGATCTGTTGTGATCCACCTCTCTTTCCTGGGAAGTATTCCAGTGCACACTTTACAAGTTACACCGCTGTATTGCTAAATCTATTTATTAGATCTGAATTATTACTCGCCAGTTTACATCAGAATTTTAATTTACACGTCCAATTTTTTCTGCATTAGAGGCCCAACAGTTTATTCGCAGAATCTGACAATGTTGGATAGATAGCTAAGAAGCTTGAGACGCTGCCTTTGGGAATGACAATGCACATTTTCTGTAAATACTATTTCACACACGTGATTTATTTATTTTGGTCAACATAGTCTAAATCAGACCCAAAGGCCGAAGCCCAATTGTAACATAGTTAAAGGCGCGAGACCAAGCCGAGTGGCTTCGCAGAAACAAAAGCAGATTAAAAATATTTTGGACCAATTGGGTTGGGCGGAACAGATATTTAGGCACGAGGGCAATTGTGTCCAATTTTGGACTATTTATGTGGTGAGAACGAATGGCACATCACACGTGCAGTTGTTAAGGGTGGTGTGGGCTAATGGCCTGCACGAGCACTTCACACGTGATGCAATCGACGCTCCTCGAATTACCGAGAACAAACCGCCGTACCTCCGCCAAAAGCCACCGTGTCTCCGCCACCTCCGACCACCACCCTGAGGGACCCTACTGCATCTACGTTGGCCCTCTCGAAACCGCCAATAAAGAGACACTCGAAGCGCTTTATTGCCAAGTAATTATAATTCTCATTTCTCCGAATAATTTTATACACTTTTACTCTAAACTCCAATTTCTGCATATTTTCAGCTTAAGATGATAAATATTAGAGAAATAATTAGCAAATTGATGATGAAAACATTTGTAGAATTGACCACACAATAGACACTTTAGCTTCATTTAACATGCTCACACTTTGCTTCTTGCAATAGGCACGTGATGCTTATTATAGTGGTCAACCTTTGATCGTTGATGACATGTTTGATAGAATAGAGGTACATTCCTTCCACTGTTTAACATATAATACTCGACATTTATGTGTGTTGTGTATATTGTAAGTCACTGTTTAACAATGTAGACTGATTTTACTTCGATTGATATGAAACTATGGAAACAGTTAAGGCTTAGATGGTATGGTTCAAAATCAGTTGTCAAGTATCCTCGGTGCAGTATCAGGAGGCAATCAACATATGCTGATGCTGAGGTACTTTTCTCCTGAATTTAAGATTAACCTGTGGTTGTATGACCTGGTTGTGATTTGGCATTGATGTCTATTTAGTTATCCTTGTCGCGGACTTCGGATGATACCCTGAATTGTTTCGAGAATGCATTGCGAGAGTATTTTCACTTCTTGATTCTTTATGTGGTTGAGAGAAAGTTAAGCTTGTGTGTAATGTGATCATGTATTTCTAATATCTACTCTATTGAATGTCTCTAGTAGCTACATTTTTATTCTAGTTAGGGCTTCCTACCCCGTGCTCTCTGTTTTTCTTTTCTCCCCCCCCCCCCCCCCCGTCTTTGCTCTTGGTTTATTCTTCACTAGAATATTGAGTGGTGTGGTCGTAGGGCAGGAAGATCTGTCTATGGCTTTTGCATTAGCAAGCACATGGGCCATGTTCCTTGCATTTGGCAGTTTAGCATGTGTTGGACCCATACCGTACACTGTTGGCATGGCTTATCAAAATGCATTCGATTCAGGATTGTTATATGGTCCCCAAACGTCCGGACTAGGATTTCTGGCCTTGGTGAATAGCATCATTTTCAGTGTGCTCGGTTTTGTCATTGGATACCCAGTTGCTTCAGCTTCAGGTAAAAAACATTTTGCTGGTTTTTCCCCCTTCATCATCTTATGCCTTAATTTTCAAATTTGTACTTCAAGCAATATTTCACTTGCCAAGCTCTTATAATTTAGTTGACTTGTGAATTCCTTATAGTAGAATTTTCATTCTGTAACCTCAAAATTGATTATTGACGACATTACCTCTTCTTCTATATCTGTATTTTCACAGTTAAAGTGCTTCAAGGCCTGTGGAGGAATGACTTGGTGGCACTAAAAGGTGCATGTCCTAGTTGTGGAGAAGAGGTCAGTAATTGCAGTAACTGTCATATAAGCCTCTTCTCCATCTTGTCCCTAAATTTATGTTTTTACATCTGTCCAGCTTGTGAGGCACATAGTTAAGATTTAATTTCACTTAACTCATTCACATTGAGTTGGATTCATTTTGTTTCAGGTATTTGCATTTGTCAGAATGGACAGGAATGTTGACTCACCTCACAGAGCAGATTGTCATGTGTGTGAATGCTTATTAGAATTTCGAACTAAAGTGGAGGTAACAATTTATTGATCTTTTAAAACTTTTTGCAGAAGCACATAAACTAGACTGTTATTTACTTTTTCTATATTTAAGAGAATTGAGTATGGCTATGCTATAATTTGCAATGCATGTTGATGACGTGCATGGTAGAGAGCGTATTTGTTTCTCCTCAATTTTTCATCCTCTGCACCCAATAAATAAATAAATGTATCTACCAAAAGATGATGCTGCACTTTGAATGACACATGGTGTTATCATCTTTCAGCAATCGGTTTCAACATTAGGCAGACAGTGGGTTTATGGCCGTATTTATCTTGTTTCACTAAGAGGCAGATCCCGACAATGACAGCTGTGAATTTCTTCCCAGCATATGAGACTTGCTTGTGTTTAGGTTATAGCAAGGATCAGAGTACCGTCAACTCCTTTCGTATTCTTATTTTTAGTCTAGAACAGTTTTGCCTGAAACTGATTTGAAATACTTCCCGTAAAGACCTGTTAATGAATGGACAACTAATTTTTATTATTTGATTGTATGTTAGTGTTGTGCTAGATTTTGGAGGTGCATTTTGATATGTAAACTTCGAGCCCTTTTATTTGATATTGTGATTTATGACATCAAATTGAATTCTTAGGAGTATTGAATTCTCGTGACAATCGATGTCTCATGTAAATCAGAATCCCGATTATCATGTATACAAGTTGATTGTAATATGTCAGAGACCGAGTTATATGCCCTCTTTATTATTGTCGTTGTTTTGTTCATGGTAGTATTGATTGCCGGGGCCATTGTTGCTTTAGTTTTGCTTCTTGTTACCTTTCCGATTACTTATTGGCAAGGTCTTATTTAAGACCCGACCACCACTATCACCATCATGTTTGGAACGCTGAATCTTGTTTTCCTTCTATGCTCTGTTCCATGAAATATGATGTCCACAATCTTTAGCCCAAAGAAAAAATAGGTTTCCATACCATGCCTCATTTTGGAAAATCATGAATAATTTCCCGCATGAAATTAAAAGATTTCGTGCAATATGGGATGAGCTTTTATTTTTGGCTTTTAACCCCTCTCATTTCTATTAATGAAAATACAAATTATCCGCATTTTCTGAAAACGATTCATTCCTGGGAGGTTAAAACTTCAAGGTATGAAATTACAGGACCCTACGCATGATAAAAATATTTAGGGGTTAAAACGTAAATGAGTGTCAAAACCGGCCTAGATCAACTTCTCCCCAAGTGTGCCTTAACTCTATAATGATTACTGCACAATTACTTCCCCCATTTTATTTTCCGCCGGTTGGAAATCAAATCTTAAAAGGTCCAAAATTGCAGTCAAATTATTTTTTTCAGTAATAAATAACATTCTATTTTATGACATTAGTAATAAATTATGTGATGGAGAAAATAAAAAAAATTAATTGCAGCATGTCACTTCAAGGAGAAATTATTACGTGATCCAAACCATGTAGTTCTAGTTACTTACAATTGACAAGACCATGGAAGTCTAAGACCACTCTAAAAAAATTTCCACTCCAAGGGCTAGAGGGGAAAGGGGTCATCTTACTCTAGTCAGAACTTATCACAAGTTCTAAGGAAAACAAAAGTACCTTTAATAAAATCGAATTAACAAAAATTGAACTGTATCCTTTTGTTGCTAATTTTATTTAGTTAAAACTTCAGATTACTTTAACTTCTTTTTCAATTTTACTTTTCATGCTAAACTAATTAACTCTTAACTCGTGGTAACTTGCTTTATACTAAAAGAGAAACGCGTTAAAATCTAAACCCCATATATAGCAAATGCTAGGTCAGAAAAAGTAAAAAAAATAATCTTGTAGGGGAACTGCATCGCTTTGCTCATCTACAAATTAGTGATGATATTTGTATAATAAATCGTACAAATGTTCGGGCATTTTACCATAACCATCATCAACACACAACATATGATCCTTAAACAATCAGTTCACAGCAGCCGCAATCAAAACAGCTACATCAAGATCAACCAAAAAAGCGGGAATCCATTCAGGAATTCTATATGTATGGCATAAACATCAAGGATAAATGATCCCACAGAATTTGCCTGCAACAATTTTATTTCACCGTTCAACAAACATAATTTTGATTGTCATCAGTTCTGCAACATACAATTTGCTGTAGTACGAGGTGTCATTAGAATGGCTTGGACTAAAATAGCTATTACCATGGAAAGCAGAAGCTAGCGTTCATGCATTGCAAAATCAGAACATTTTACACAGAAGTAAAGCAGATAACTGCAAATCGGGCAACTGTAATCAAGTAAAACTTTCAACCGTGTTGAAGCTTCAATGCCCGGCCAATCAGAAGTGTGCTAAACTGTAAACTAGAATCCAGGAAAGCTGCACACATACATGAAACGTGAAGTCAGATTGTAGAGTAGTTAACAAAAGCCTTGGGGAGTGAATAAAATCTTCACTTTCTGCAGAAAACAAAGCAATGACCAACATAACATTTTACCAGGAAAAGAGTTATAGAAGCAAAAAGTCCCTCTTGAAGGAGGGCTCCATGACCACCAAGCTCTTCCTCGTCAACCTTTAATATTATTGCATAATAACTATATATAATCCCAGAGGACAACACTAAAAATCTGCAAAACAGGAAGACAATTAACAAATAATAAACATCAAACTTCTAGACAGTGTTAATGGGGTGGTGTCACATGAAATGGTTGTCAAGAACCGCTACTGAGATATAAACATAAACAGTGCTTGTATTAATCAAAGAAGTGAGATTAACTCAGTACAAAAGTGACTAACAATGAACAGAAGAAATAATTTCTAAGGAGAAAGGGCTACAAGAAGAAGAGAAAGAGACATAGCGAGAATTCGTCAACCTCCAATTCTCACACCTTCTTTACCTTTTATCCTCCCTCTAGGACCTCCACCATGCTGCACATTACCATTCTGTTGCATCTAAATGTGCCACCTCAGCATAAAGGTTCATAACATCACATTTAATTACAGATGCCATAAATGTTCCACGTAGATTTAAATCAAGCCTTTAATAAAATGCCAGGACATAAACTATGAAATAAACTATGAATTAAGCCTGAGAAAATTTATACCTAGTAAAGTCTCAATAACTCATCAAACGTTCTGCTAATAAAATTCATGATCGTACAAAGTAAAACTGATTTCTGCAACTAAAGATCACTCGATTTCTGTAGCATGAACCTCGTTGATGAATTTATTTTTATAGAGATTGCAAGATGTTTTTCTAAAACACAAATAGTAGTACATTGAATTGGTAAAAATGAAAATAACTCCAAAGAGGCCACCTCCTCTATTTGTTGAGTTTATGTTGCTGTAGCGCAACACATTCATGCAATCTCCAAAGTCTTGTAACTAAAACAGCAGCTTCATATGCATAACATCCACTACTGTTGCTAAATTTAGGTCAAATCTCTATCACTTTTGAAGTTTTAATCATTCTAGATTTGAGCATTGCACCATTTGGTAGACAATCAAGACCAATGAAAGAGGCCATTATCGTCATTTGCACATAATATCACATCAGTAAATACAGTCAATCTACAACTTCAATAACACACAGTTACAAAATAAACATTTTGATTCGAAGTGAAAAAAACTTACAGGATAAACCATATTCCTCCAACCAAAGGTATGGCACCCCAAAGGAATCCACACACAAGGCCAAGCACTTGTCTAATCCAATGCAATACGTCTCCCAATTGATCCTATTTGGAAGTAACAGATAGACAGAGAGACAAGGGTTGTTAGCATATGATTAAATCAATTAAGTAACCGCTGCATAGAACAACGTAGCAAAAACGAGAACCCCTAACCACTTCAAACTTCAACTATGACAGCACTAAGTAAAATGAATCTTAATCTTGATCATGCACTATATAAGAAATTGAGAACATATTATATCATTGACATGCTTATTTTTATTTATTTTTTGCTTACCCAAAATTCGGGAAGGCCATTAAATTCAACTCAGAAAGTCCAAAATTAATAATTTCATTTAAACCGAAATTTCAACAAACATCTCATACGAGGAATGGATCTACAAAAAATGAAATTGTAAAAACAAACCTTGTCCCAGGAAGCTTCAGGATCAAACAATTTGGCGAATTTGGAAGGAGAGAGGTGACCGTTCTGGTGCTGATGATTCAATTTAACAGATTTACCTTCTTTCATAGTGAGAGAGGAAACAATGAAGTTGAATCAAAACAAAGGGTTAAGCGAGTAATGGGGGAAGTGAACTACTTCACACAAAGTTTGGGTTTTTCAATCGTTATTGGTCAATGATTGTTGATTAGGTTATCAATCGTTGAGAAACGGCGACACTGGAAGAAGAAGGAACTCAGAGAAAGTTAGGGTTTTGAATCGAAAGTGAAAAAAAGTAAAAAAGAATCTGAATGGAAATTAAAAATTTCAGGAGTTTGGTGTTTGATCTGTTATCTCTCTGTAATTTTCTGATTCTCAAATGTCAATAGATGAGGTTACTTGGTGCTGCGTTGTACTCTGACACAAATTTTGCTTTATCATAAATTTAGATTTAAATATATTCAATTTAATTTTTCAGTTTAATTAGAAATGCCAGATGTTATATCTTCCTTTATCTGCTTATCAACGGTTTGCGAATCAGATTATTATCAAATTTAAATTAAAATTTCAGAAATACAGTTTAAAAAATATTTTTCACTGGTTCCTTATCTTATAATCATTAAGTGGGTGCTTAACTTAATTTATTATATCCTTATGATTTTTTAGATAAATGAGTTGTGTACGTGGAATTAAAAAAAATTAATTTTAAATATATTCAATGACTATTTTAAAATTAAATGAATTTTATTGTAATTATTAATAATACTAATTTTGTTTTATTAAATAAAATAACAAGATAAATTTTAACATATCAAATTATAAAAAATAATTTTAATTTATTTTAATTTTAAAATATAAATATTTAATGAAAAATATTAGTTTAATATGGTGAAAAGGAGAATTAAAACATAAAACGTCAACTACACTATGTTGCTGCATAATCTATTACATCACATGGGAGCACTCACATAAACAATGCTTAGCACTCTGAATGTGCAAGTTGCACTAAGAACAAATAGGATTTTCAGTTTAATGCCTATCAAATTTCAATAAATTTATTCGTAGAGCATTATGCATAGTAAGCCATAAAAGAAAGCAAAATTTTCAGATATTTTCAATCGCTAGAGCCATCTCCACCGTTAATTTTGCCTTAAAGTTTTTGTATTACATCAGCCAAAAATATGTGTCCCTCACTAATATTTACCATTTTTTACAATAGCTCTAAATATAAATATTAGGTGTTGAATTATTAAGTATCATTTGAATATTTTTTAGTTTCTCAATTCATCACATAACAACTAAATCACCAAATAAGAGCCTTTATATATTCACCCAAAAACAAATATTTTATATATTCATTTGATCATAAAGAAAGCCTAATTAAGAATCATTACTTTACCAAAATGACGATTAATCAGTTATAGTTTGAAAAAATTATTAAAACTACTTTCATTTAAATTTTATACTTGTAAATTAATTATATGTATGTTTGAAAAATAATTTTTTTCCTAAGTTATAAAATGTTGTCTTTAAAGTTATATTTAGGAGTTGGATTTAAGAAGAGAAGAGAAAAGAAAAGAGAGGTTAAAAAAGTTTTAATCTTGTTTGAAAATTATTTAATAAGTAAATAAAATTTTGAAATTTTAATTTTTTTAAAATTTTAAATTTTCAAGTGATGTTTGTTTTAATTTTTTAATATTAATTTTAAAATTATTAATTTTTATATAAAAATATTATCTTTTATTTTTTATAAAAATAAAAAAATATAACATTTAATAATATTTTTATATAATTAAATCATTTATCATTCTCTTTTTTCAATATTAAACATAAAAAAAAATTAACCTCTTTCTCAATCCTTTTACATCCTCTTCTTCTCACTTTAAACATAAAAAAATATTATCATTTCTTTGCACTCACGCCTATGCCTCTCTTGTCTCCACCTGCTACTTCTCCTACTCTAACTCCTGCTAAAGTAAGAGTAAAGCCCTTTCACTTGCACCCATCTCCCCTTCCAAAGCTCTCGATCCCAGCCTCTCCATCATGTATCCGGATCCCTTTTTGTTGTAGCGGAAAATAGACGTTCAATTCTATTTTTTCTTAGACGAAAATAGAGAAAAAAAAATTATCCAAAATTAATTTAAGTAAATTTCGCATACTTGAGATGAGAAGAGAAGAATTGGGTGTGGAGAAGAGGAAAATATGAATGGATGGAGATGGAGAGAGCGGTGGTAAGAGGTAGTGGTAGAAAAAGAGAAGGGTAAAGGAGTTGGGTATGAAAAAAAACAAAATAAAATAAAAAGTGAATATAAGAGTGGAGTAAGAAAAGAAAGAAAAAAGTTGGATATAAAATAGAGAGAAGAAACGATTTGGGTATCGGAGGAAAAAAAATCAAATATAAAAATTAGTGAGGGAGTGTTAGATATAAATATAAGAGAAAAAAAATATAAATTTCGTTTAAATTAATTATATATATATATATTTATTTTTTATTTTTTTTATTGAACTGAATGTCTAGCTTATGTTACAACTAGAGGAGATCCGAGATACATCTATCATCTATCATCTCTCTTCCTCTTGCAATGTGTTAACTTTGCAATTTTTTTAATTTTAAGAAAATTTATATTTATTTAAGTAAAAATAAAACTGAAAATTAATTCGTTATAATTTATATATAAAAGTTTATCTAACCACTTAATATTGGTAAAAAAAAAATTATTAAATTTATTTGTTTGATATTAATTTTTTAGTTGTTACTCACATAAATTACCTTAAAAAACGTATTACTTGGTTTTTAACAAAGTAATTGTTAATTTTTTAAAATTCATTTTTTTTACCAATATAAATTCTCCCTTATTTATAAAAACTATCTCTCTTTCAAAATACAACATTATTCTAAAAAGTTTGTGAGAAATTTTTTTACAAGACACATTGTAAGTTTTTTAATATTTATTATCCATAAAAATTAATAGGATAGATTTTTTAATAACACAAAAATAAAATATAACTTTTTTAAGTGTATGAAAAAACTAAAACTAAAAATTGAAATATTTATTTATGAAATATTTTTTTATATATGATATTTAAAAAATAAATATATAAAAAATATGATATTTTTTAAAAACTATCAAAGTTTAAAAATTGTCAGTAACTATTTTTGACTCAAGTACATAAATTCAAAGATCAGAAAATTATTAATAGCAATTTTTTTAAAAAAATATATAAAAATTTAAAAATTATTAATGATAATTTTAAAATAATAATTAAATATCAAAAAAGTAACCAGACGTATGACAATTAAAAAAAAAAAACATGTTTCCGAAATTTTGCAAAACAATTCATATTCTTATATATATATATATAAAACATACATAAAAAAAAAACCTTTATTTACTCGTTTTGTTTTCCTTTTCACTTTAAAAAACCTAACGAATTACGCTACACATTCTTTTCTCTCTCGTCAATTAGCACTTTGTGTTGGAGTTTGAATTTGATTTGGACGAGCTTGGAGGTTGGCTACTTGTTTTGGTTCTGAATCTGATCGAATTCTGAATTAGGGTTTAAGATTTAGGGAGAGAGATGGGTAGCCCCCCGAAGCAGGACGAAAATAAGGGTTTCTTTGCCACCGTGTCTTCAATGTTCAGCAACGCTATGCAGCGATCCGTCAATGGGTACTGCATCTTTTCCATTCCTTCCTTAATTCACTTCAAAGCTTCCATTTTTATCATATCTGTATATGCCCATATTCTAATAGTCGTAACTGTTTGTTCACACTCCTCATGCTGTTTGTTCTCTTCCCTTATGATCATAGTTTCAGCTTTCAAGTTTCATTTGATGATTACCTTATGTTGATTTTTCACTTGTAGTTCTAGCTGGATATGAATGTTCCCTTAGTTTCAGGGAGTAGTTTAGTCTAAAACCGAACTAGATCTAATTATAAACCCTCTTATTATCATTATTTTTTTTAAAACGGGTTTGATTTTTGCTAATCCAGTTTTAAACTTATTTTAAACGTGCTTATGAATACTTTGAAGGACTGATGTCCACACTTCATAAATGCAAGTGGTACCAGGGAAGGGACCAAATGGAGTAGCAGGATGAATTCAATGGGCAATGTGACAACAACTTTTTTAATTATCTTTCAATTTGTGCACTAATGATGAATGTCTATGATGTAACCCACAACGGGAAATCTTGAAATGGAGATGGTTTTGGAGAAATGGCGTTGTTTGACAATTCATGGGAGTGAGAGCACACAAGACGTGCCATCGGAGCATATCTCACAGGGGCCAAGAACACAGCTTTTCTGGATTAACGGTGGCACAATCAGACTGGTTATTAAAGAATCAAAACTACGAGAGATCACTATTGAGTATAGATAGGAATTGAATAGTCATTTGGATTCCCAATCAACCAACCAGTTTTGAATCCAGTTGTTTTTAGTTATCCAGATTTGAAAATTAAATGAACCTAAGTAGCCGGTTTTGTTACTAAGCCAAGATTTATCATCTGTTTTTGACGTAGTTTGGGGTCACGTGTGTGCTTGAACCTGCATCTATAGTGTGAAAATGTTCCCCTGTTGCTCATGTAATTCAAATGCTTCACCTGGATTATACATGGTTCCCACGTAGGATATTGCATTCTTACAAGACATGAATGGATATAGTACAAACAAAGACGTGTTATTGTTTTGGATTAATACCATTTCAAGGAAAAAGCCAACAACATACTGGGAAGTTTTTTCAGCAAATAATTGTTACTTTGAACAATTTTGTGCATCATCATGGACGGAGATTACTTTACTTTCATTAGATCATGAGAATAATGTTGCATAATTTTTTTTAAAAGAAAGTTATCCATTCCTAAACAAAAGAAATATCAAGTAGTCAAACACAATTCTGAGAAAGAACAAAACAAACACAAATTAACTGAATGCTAAAATAACTAATAAATCTATGAGACTCAGCCAATTCTGGCGGCCTAATTATCTGTTGGTGTCCTCACTAAGATTTGCAATGATTATAAGAGGAATTTAAACTTATTTAGATGCTTCTCCTTTGTTTCTAGGCTTCTTGGATATGAAGGTGTAGAAGTCATAAATCCAGAGGGAGGTCAAGATGATGTGGAGGAGGAAGCTCGAAGAGGAAGATGGAAACAGGAGGTGCTTATTTAGTCTGTTTATTTTTTTTGTAAAGCTTCTTTATTTTCAGGCTTTTTCTGGTATTTTTTATTTTGAACTCCCTGTTTGGACATTTAAAATGATCTTTGTAGTAACCACTTTGGCACTCCCGTAAGTTAAATTGTTGTTTTGTTTTCCAGTTTTATTGTATGTTGAGGATAAGTATGCTGACATTTTTTTTAGTTTTATTTTATTTTTCTCTTCTTTGGCAAATGCCTCATTCATACATGCTCATATTTTGAACATTATTATCTCTTTTCTCCTTTTGGCTCTTTTGAACATTATTATCTCTTTTCTCCTTTTGGCTCTTGTATATAAAGGAAAGAGATGGTTACTGGAAGATGATGCAGAAATATATTGGCTCAGACGTAACATCAATGGTGACACTACCAGTTATTATATTTGAACCAATGACTATGCTTCAGAAAATGGCTGAGGTCTGCTGGCTAAAGTTTTTCCATTGTTGATGAATCATAATTTGTTTTGTCAATTGATTGAATTTTAAATTTCATGAACTAGTTGATGGAGTACTCCTACTTATTAGATCAGGCAGATGAATCAGAGGATCCATACATGCAATTGGCGTATGCATGTGAGTTAGTTTTTCTCCTTGTATTTTCTATTTTAACTCTTTTTAAATTGAATTTAGAAGTTATCCTAAGGATATTTTTTAGATAGGAATGAATGACAAACAAGAAGCATATGAAGCATTCTAACTAGTTTTGATTAAGGATTTGCTGGCTGATATCAAATATCTTCACCTGAGGCTTGCTGTAGTAGTTCTTGTTCTTCTTATTGCATTGAAGTAACTATAGCATCAGGCACGCACTTTTCTTATTATTGCTTCACTATTGTAATTTCTTTAATCATCACAGCATCATGGGCTATATCTGTGTACTTTGCATACCAACGAACCTGGAAGCCTTTTAATCCTATCCTTGGAGAGACCTATGAAATGGTTAACCATGGTGGAATTACATTTCTTGCAGAACAGGTATCTTTTCAGTTTGTGATTCTCATGGAAACTCTCTGATACATGACTTTCTACATTTCACTCTCTCACCATGTCTCTTTTATATATTGTTTTGGAAGAAACACCACTGCTCTTGGTTTCTTATTTTGTTAGGTCAAAACAAAGTATATGGGTGTTGTACTTTTCTCTGTGTATCTAAAAAAAATATTTAAAATTTCAGGTGAGTCATCATCCTCCAATGAGTGCTGGACATGCTGAGAATGAGCATTTTATGTATGATGTTACTTCAAAGTTGAAAACCAAGTTTTTGGGAAATTCTGTAGATGTTTATCCTGTTGGAAGGTAATGAATATATAGCATTCGTTTATTGGATTTCATCTGTTTTATCATTTTATTCTTGTTGTTACTTATGTTGTTTGTATTCTTCCAAGTTCCAACTCTGATTTCTGCATTCTCCCACTCTCTTACTGGAAGAGTTTATGTGTCTTCTTTTTGCTCTCAAGAGACTATAAGTTTCCTCAAGCAGGGTAGAGACATTTATGGTGGTATTTAATGAATATGCGGAAGCTAAATGTAATGCTTTCTGAAGATCTCCATACAAGATTGCCATTGTAGTTCCATGAAGAATTTTGATAAACTGTTATAGATTCAATCTTATAGTGGTCATTCAACAAAATAATTCTTAATTTAATCCTAGTTGTTCTGATCTGAATTATCTATTTTTTTGTTATTTGCTATTTAAGGACTTGTATGTTTGCAGAACACGAGTGACCCTTAAGAGGAATGGTGTAATCTTAGATTTGGTGCCGCCTCCCACAAAGGTCAACAACCTCATATTTGGCCGGACTTGGATTGATTCACCTGGGGAAATGATAATGACAAATTTGACAACTGGAGACAAAGCTGTGCTATATTTTCAACCATGTGGATGGTTTGGGTCTGTAACATTTCTGTTTCTACTAAAATTAATACTTTTTAATTTAGATATTCAAATTTTGAGCAATTATGTTCGTCTATTACTAGTTTGAGTTCAATGTATAATGAAGTTAAAATAATTGTCTTGGTAATATGGCATTAACTGTTCCTGTTTCACCTGACTATTCAATTTGATTGATCGCTACTTGTTACTTACCAATTTGTGCATGTTAAAACTGAGTTATATAAAGATAATTGAGTGGCCTCGAATTTTGCTTCTGTCTTCAGTTATGTTTTCTATATTTTACTTCATCTTTGTCCATTCAGCTGTTTAGGTATCTCACTATTGTCATTATATACAACCTTTAATTAGACTCTCACCTATTTCCTGATCTGCTGCAGAGCTGGTCGATATGAAGTGGATGGATATGTTTATAATTCTTCTGAGGAGCCTAAAATATTAATGACTGGGAAATGGAATGAGTCTATGAGTTATCAACCTTGTGATTCAGAAGGAGAGCCTCTTCCAGGCACAGAATTGAAAGAGGTATTTCTTTTAATAAAAAATCTTCAGAGTTATCTACTGTTAAAGTTCAGTAACTTAGCTTCAAATGCTTGGTACTATGCTATTTTCTTGGTCTTACTGTTTGATGACAAATCATTGGCTCATTGCCCATCTAGCCATGCACTTGGTATGTTAGAGTTTGAGACTCATGCAGATAGACATAATCTCTTTCCAGTTAAGGAATGTTCCCTAGACAAGAATGCATGGTGATCCATGTGAATATCCTTCACGATCACCCAACTTGAGTACCTAGCCAACTCAACATGTTCCCACAACCACTCAAGATGAAAAGAACAAATTTTCTTTTCCCTCTTCTATCAAGCATCGAAGTGGTGACATCAAACTTAACAAAATTTTCAACTATTTCTACTTTTTTTTTCATTCTTGTATAGTAAATGATGATTTATAGTTAATCTATGGATGAGCTCTTTTCTTTTTTAAGAAATCTGAATTAGTGCTGGTGAGTTCAAACTTATTTTGAAATGCTATTCATATAAAAAAACTTCATGACGTAATGCAAGAAGACAATGATATATTCAAGCATCTTTTGTTGGTTGGTTTCTTATAGTTATCTGTTCGCAAGATGCATAAATCTTTACAATCCATCTTTTCAGTGTTGATGGTGAATTATTTTGATTAGAGGTTGTAACCATTGCAATCAATAAGACATGCCTCTCTGAGAAATGAAGTAAATTTGCACTTAAACTCTACTGATATATTAATTGGTAAGGACACTAATACCTTCTGTGATTTTATTCTGCAGGTTTGGCATGTTGCTGATGTTCCACCAGATGATAAATTCCAGTATACATATTTCGCCCATAAAATAAACAGCTTTGACACCGCCCCTAGAAAGCTGTTAGCATCAGACTCTCGTCTACGCCCAGATAGATATGCACTTGAAATGGGTGATCTGTCAAAAGCTGGAACAGAAAAGAGCAGGTTCCTTGCCCATTCTCTTGTTCCCCCTCTGTTCCCTTGTGCCCAAAAACATAGCATAGCATTTTAGAAGCAATTCAAGTATAAAATTGAGTAAAACTTTAACATGGTCTATGTTGTCTTCTCAGTTTGGAGGACAAGCAGCGTGCTGAAAAGAGAACCCGAGAGGCAAAAGGGGATAACTTCACGCCAAGATGGTTTGATTTAACTGAAGAAGTGACTCCAACTCCTTGGGGTGATTTGGAAATCTATCAATATAATGGTAAATACACTGGACATCGAGCTACTGCAGATAACTCGGGAAGCATTGATGATAATGTTGATGTTAAATCAATTGAATTCAATCCATGGCAGTATGGTAATTTGGCCACGGAATGAATTTGCTTTGGGTTTGTGGATGCTGCGTTAGTTCATTTAACTTTTTACATATACGTGGAAAAAATTTGTAATTTTGGTTTTGTTGACTTGTCTACATTGTAATTTCGACAGTTCTCTTTATGCCCACATTAGTATTTCGATTATGATATTGAATATTTTGAATGGATGGTGGGTGTAGTGGTTACTTCAACTTGTAAATATCCGTTGCTTTTGAACAAGTGAAACATGGTTTTGTTAGTGTTCTTTTTTTAATTTCTTTCTACACATCCCATGATAGGATGTGATTTTTACGTCCTCCTGCTTCCTTAAAAAGTAAGGTAAATATAATTTTTGAAAAAGTTATTAAATATTATAGATTGTTAATTTTAATCAGATGGTTAAAATTGTATTACAGAAAACTAGTTATTTAAGTTAGATTTATAAAAAGATAAATTGATAATTTTATATTCTTCTTTCTCAGTGAAAATTATGAGTCTAAAGTTTATATTTTTTATACATAATTTATTAGACAATATTCAATATAGTTATCATAAAATATACAGATTTTGAAATCAGTAATGTAATAGTTTATTTCTTTCCTGTAATCTAAATGGCAATATCTTTATCCAAAAAAATATAATATTAAAAAATTTAGAATCTTATTTATGTTTTTTCTTCATCGTCTTTTTTTTTTTTTTCTATCTTACTCTCATTTTATTAACACCATTAAAAATTCATAAATAACAGAGTTTTAACACACAAAAATTTAAACTAATAAAACAATATATTTCTTTCACTTTCTATGGGAATTAAGCCTTGTTATGTTTATTACATATTGGAACAATAAAGAAGAAAACAATCAAAGTTTATACATACCTTTGTATACAACATTAAAAACAATGACATTACAAAATTTTTGCTACTTTTTACATTAGTTCTTTTTAGATAACTAATGTAGAAGTAGCTACAAAAAAAAATAAAATTCAGTATTTGTTCTTTCCAAAGAACCAATATAAAAAGTTATGTTTTTTTTTTTAAAAAATACATTCTACATCAGTTTTCTAAGAAAACAATGTAAAAAGTTGCATTTCTTTTAAAAATATTTTTTTTTATATTTTTTTCATTTTTGTTTTTTTCAACCATGTTTCATCTTTTTCTTGGCTTTTAAGATTCAACTTAGAAAATTTGAATATATATATGTACATCAAATTTATTAAAAATCAGATGTTGAAAGTAACGTATGGGAAGAAATAAATTTGAACATCGGTTACTTACAAAGTTAATGTAGAAAATGGTGATTTATATTTAAAAAAACATCAGTTCTACATATAGTGGATGTCTAAACTGATTTTGATAGTTAACGTATGCTACTATCCACTTATTAGTCGGTTGTCTCAACTGACTGACTTAGAAAGTTGCAACCTTTTAATAAAAATCATATATACATTCAGTGGTGGTAATAACTGATGTAAAAGTTTAGAAAATAAGAAAGCATAGATTTAGTAGCGGTTGGTCACAGAGTTGATGTAGATAGTGTGTTGGGTGTTTATTTGTAAATTTTTGAATGTGAAGTGGAAAGCACGAAACAAACATTGCAAGAAATGGTTATCTTACTTGTGAAGTTTTGATTTGTTCGGTTAAACAATTAAAGGAGTATTGACTTTGTTTTTGTTGAATGTTTTTCATTATACTTTCTCAAATTTTGCTTTTTCCTAACTACGTTTCATGTTCTTCCAGTCATGTCTTATTGGAACCCAGATTGATAGGGTGGTGCATATAATTCAGAGGAAATTATGAAGGAAGTCACAGAGGAAAAATCTCATCTTAATTATTTTTATCCAACAAATTTTAAAGTTCAGATAAAAAAAATCTAAGAATAAAGGAGGTTAAAAGAAAATAAGAGAGATAAAAATAGAGAAATTATCGTATAGAGGAAGAAGAAAGAAATAAATGTGAACTAATAATTTACTTATTCACCGTTCATTAATATTTTATTACTCAATATAGTCATCTATACTTCTTGATTTTTAACTTTTTTACTAATTAATCTCAGTTTTTTATTTTGTATCTACAAATATTAATAGTACAAAATTAAATTTAATTTTTTTATTAAAAATATTATATTTACTTTTTACAAATAAAAAGATAATGTTAGAATCATCCCATGATAGGTACTCAATTATTATTTAAAATAAGTATCATTGTGAAACTAGAAGTACATATGGCAGCATCAGATCATCTTTGATATTTACATGAACTCTGACAAGTACCTAACTCGAAGCTAAAAGCGCAAGTTTGAAACCAATACGTATATCATAACCTACTTATAATTCATAGCCAATTTTTCAAGTGTCATCACTTACCTTGTTTGTTGATATTTTATTTTATTTTTCACATTACATCGTTTATTATATATATTTTTCTTCTACCAAACATTTTCCTATATCAATTGGATGTGTATTGTGGTATTCTTAGTCTAACAATGATGGCTTTACTTTAATGAGAGATTGTTTAATCGACAACTTATTTAGAATCTCAACTGCATATATGGTTCAACTCATTTTATCTAAAGAATTGTCTCTTATTAAGTTTTTTAAATGAACAATTAGTTAGACATAAAGAAATTCCAAACCTGTAATTGTGAATATATCTGTATTAAATATTATAAGTGTGATGTTTATATAATTGAAAATTAAATTAATTATCGCCTACATTTTGAAAGACTAAAACGAATATTTTCACCATTAATAATGAATCGATAGAATCAAAATCTAAGAAAATCCAAAGCTGATAACTATAATTAAATAAAGCTCCATCCTGTTTATCCAGAGTGCAAGTGCTCCACCCTGTCTTTAAGTTTCAACCTTTTCTTTTCTGTTTATAGGGTAAAGAATCTGCCTCCAACTTCTTAACTTTATCAGTCATTGAGTGTAATTACATATTAATTTAATTATGATGGGTCATAAACGTCGATTGGTTTGATTAATTAAATACAATATTTTCATCCCTCACATTAAGCGCATCTTTTAAAAGCATAAATTAATTAGTCAATCACATGAATTTTTTAATAACATGTTTGTTCAATTGGTCCCCACCTTTATTTTCCTGTCACCATTACCTTGTCTGATTTGAACGGTATAATTTCCTGAACCTGAAGGCACTGCAAACCACTTCACCTCACCCTTTTGTTCTTTCTCCCTTTTTTTCTGTTGGGTGTGAATGAGATCTGAATGTGGCTTCTACGTCAAGTAAATTCTATTCTCAAGTTACGTGACCTTCAATCTCCTTCCAACTTCACACTTGATGCCTTGCATTTCCAAATTTCTCCTTCATATCATATATTATATATTTTTCTCTATTATTCTTTTCTTTACTCCAAGCATAATGTCAGTTCTTATGTCACAGTCACACTTTTAATTGATCTAGTTTTCATTTTTTTTCGCCTTCTTAGAATTTAATAATCTTATATTGATCGGCCGTTATTACCTATCACAGTTTTTATCATATAATATGTTACATAAAATGTATTGAAATTTTCTTAGCTGGTGAGGAAATCTGAGAATTGTGAAGAAGATTTGGTTGTATGTAACAAAGCAATTTATTCATGCATGATATGATGAGTTGGTGTTGGCTTTTTTTAAGGATTTTGTAATTCAATGTGTGTTATTTTTAATCAATAAGATCTTCTTGATTGTTGCTTGTTTTCTCTAGGGGATGAATTATCTGAATCTAAAATTCAATGGGCTTCGTGAAATTTGCTGTGATTCAAACCCAGATCTGTGGCTAGTGATTCCACCATGGCACAATCTTTAAATAAGACAAAAAATGCTAAGCTTTTCCAGCTTTCTTGGGGGAAGGAACATGGACTCCTTTGCCTTCAAATTAATACTAAGTGGTCTAACACGCTATCTCTTTCGTGGGCCAGCTTGCATATTACCTCCTAATCATGTGCCACACTAACCCTTTCCCAACCAAATGGAATTGGTAAAATGACAAATTCTTTTCAGTTTCTTTTATTATTATTCCTCCTTTTATTTTGTTACACAAAATTGCTAAGTCAAAAATTGTAATCTTTATAATAACTTCATATATTTAGAATTGGTAGAAAGAATCATTTTTGTCATTTCAATAAAGTGTAATATATCTCTTTTAGAAATGAAAAAAAAAACCAATTGAAAATTTACCAATAATAAAATCATGTTAAATTACATTTGTGTGAAAACTATAAATTTTAACGGTAGAATAAATCCACAACTAATCCCATTGTTTTTATTTGATTATTCATTTTTTCATTGAAAGACCATAGATCTTGTGAAATTGCCTTTAAAAGTTTAGCAATTTAAAATCACAATTAAATGATACATGTCTTTACTTGCTTCTTAAAAAAAAAAAAAAAAACTCTAATGCTATTTCATTGACCAAACGTGTCACATAATATAACGAGTAATATCCAAATAGAAGTGTATATAAACAAAATACCATCAAATTGAATGATTATAAGCATATAATGTTTTCATTAAAATCCTAAAACCAATTCTACCTCTTTCAGTTCAACACCTGTTAGTGAAAGTGAATGTCTATCAAATATTTTTCTTTGCTAAATGAGTAAATAAGCAAGTCAATGCAGAAAGAAGGTAATGACGTGGAGGAGGCACTTTTTGCTAAAATGAAACAAGGACGTGGTTGAGCCACTGTCACACAGCCACGTGTAGCGATAAACTTTCTCCCTTCTCAGGGTGGAACTAGTGAAACTGTGTCTTTGCCTTATCCACTTGGTTTGGCCAGACATTGACCCATGTCCACATGCCACAGCTAAATTAAAATTAATGTTGTATAAATATTAGGAGAAATAACAAGAAGATCATCTCTTGCCCATAAATTTACACGATGTTGTATAAATTTTTTGAAATTCATATAAAATTTTAGAATTACGAATATGATACAATTTATCTTTAACTAATGAAACCTTGTCATAAAACATGACTAGAAATTTTAGAAGCATCACGCTTTCCCCACCCACCATATCCACTAAATGGTGTCATGATGTGACACAAAAAATGCTTCATATATGTATTGTTTATACTTTACAAATCAAATTCAATTCAAATGAATGGCCTAAGAATGGTAAATAAGATTAAAATAAATAAATAATCGAATTTGGGAATGACCCAACATTTTATGCCTTTAACCTGTATATCCAGTGGAGTGGAGTGAAATCACCGGCACGCCCGGTGGCAGGGTGGTCATATAAAATGCTGGGGGTTTAAGCAAAGGATGGATAGTGCTCAGAGGGTTTTGGGAATTCGAAGTAACAAACTGTTTTCTGTTTTAATCTTTTTTTTTACCTGAGAAAAAACAAACCAAATTTTCGTGGGAAATGAGAGAAATCGTGTCTATAATGGAAAACTAGTGTGTTTGATGTGTTGCTTCAGTATTCTCCAACAATTTGCCGATCTTACATTTGCCTAAATTGCCAGAGTTTCGATTTTTGTGGTTAAAATTGTAACTTGTGAAGACAGAGGTAAGCAAATTTCGTTTGTTTCACCAACTTATGCAGAGCTTGTAATCCTTTGGACAAGACAAAGTTGTTGGAGCTTGTGTTGTGTGGTTAAGTTCCCACTTCGGAAATTTCGTACAATTCTCTGAGTGGTTTTGTGTTTCCTTAGTTCGGTCTTCGATTTTTTGGAGGGATTTGGATTTTGTCGGATAATTTTTTGAACCTGCGGATGCTTTAGTTTTTGGTAATTATCTGAGATCGGTCTTCGTCTGTTGTTTTAGATCTCTTCTATGATCTTCGTTTGAATTTTTATTTACTTCTCATGAACTTGTTTGAAATCTCGCTTATTTTCTCTTATTTTAGTTTATGTGCTTTATGGGGGTTGTTTTTGTGTACTATATCTTTATCTGAGCCGAATTGTTAAGTTTCCTATATTCCTCTGTGTCTTCATCTGAGTCTACTTTGGTTGTGTTATCCTCGGTGCATTACATTGCACGTGATTTTCCCATTTGGAGGAGTGGTTAGAAATATTTGTTTTTTCAATAGCCTTTATCTTCAACATGCCTGGATCTAAGGGAAGTCACCCGATTGGCTTCTTCCTCTGAATTGAGACGCTTAAGTATACACTACAGTTGTAGTAAATTTTAGCAGTGAAGATTGCCTTTCAAGTAATGGTGTTTAGCTGAATCTGGTTCTTTGCTTTTGCTAGTACAAAAAAACAGTTGTTTTCTTTATAAATATCAATTTCTTCTTAACTTAATTTGAAAACATGCGCTTGATTTTATTCTTTGATTCGGTGGTGTAAAAAAAAAAATACTTGTATTAGTTTTTAATGGTACACTCTAAGCCTTACGGTTGTGTACGGTCAGGCTTACAAATTGAGACTTGTGAGGTCAAGCAACCAGAGTGCACATTTATTTGACAATGGGTCTTGGATTGCTGGTTTTTTGTGCTTGATCTATCTATTTTGTCATGGTTCCTGAGATATGGTCTTGCAGAAGAGATTAGACTACGGATTTAATGGCTGTCAGGTTCCGGCCATGCCCCGTGCTTCCCGATCAACTAGGGTAAATATGTTCTGCTTCTCTTGTGGAGATGATCACTACTATCTGTTTACTTAGAGATTTCATGAAAACAGTCTATATGATTATTTTTTAAAAAATGTTTCCTAGAGGAGGCGTAAATTTCAAAGGAGAGCAGAAGACAATCAAATGCGTGCATTTGACTTATTGGCCACCATAGCTGATAAACTATTGCAAGAGAAAGAAAATCCAACCATGTCTAGTGATACATCATCTGAAAAGGATCAACGTGGATTTGTCAAAGAATGCCAAGATGCAAATAAACCATCCAAATCTGAGCTTTCTGATGAAGGAAATTGTAACAAAAAATGTTGCTCTCATCTTTCTTCACAAACAAACAATCAAAATTGCTGTTTGAAAGAATTCCAACATGCTGAACTTGACGGTCATCCAGGGATTACTTCTATAGTAACAAGTTCTAGTTGCTTAGAGAGGTTCTTTGCAGACAAATTGGTGGATGGCAAAAGCCATATCAAAATGGAAAATTTTACTAGCAAAGTTAAATTAGATTTTTCTGGTTATCCAAAGGATAGTCACTTCAAGGTAGATGGTGACACTAGTAAAGGAAAGGATGGGCTGCATAAGACTGAGAAGGTGCCAAATGGCATTGGCAGTGCTGAGGATCCGTTAGATGAAAATCCTCCCGCATTTATCAGTTTAGGTGGCAATCCCAAATTTTCAGGGTATAGTGATAGGATTCCCTGTAGCTCGTTGTCTAAAGCTTGTGACAATGTACTAGTAGTTAGTAGAGATGATGATGAAAACTCTTCTGGGTGTACTCACCCTAGTAGTACTAAAACCAAGTCCCTTAGGGTGAAGACTTGTATAGGTGATAATAGAATAAGTAAAACCCTGGCTTCTAAATTTCGGAAAGTTGCTGAAAAATCTAAAGATGATACACTTTCTAACTGTGGTGAGTGCATGCTTATGGTATGAAATTATTGGCACTCTTATAATCCTTTGTCTTTAACCCTCATGGTCTTTGCATGTTCGCTGATCTTTTCGCAATTGGTAACATGTTAATTTTAGATGGAGATTTGAAGCGAACTTACCACAGTAAGAAGAACTGCAATAAGCGCCAAAATTCTCAGATGAATATTCCTTTCAAAAAGAGGAAGCTTTTTAATGGTAGCTATATTTCAAGTTCTAATGGATTTATCGGGAGTCGTGGCATTTATTATTCACCTGAGAATTGTATGAATCAAGATGCATGTGGTTCACTTCCCGGAACGCACAAGGGTTTTACACCTTTCCTCTAAATGGCTTCCTTCAATTCAGTTTGCTTTTTGTTTCACTTCTGTATTTAAGGGTGTCAGGATTCTTTTGTTAAATAAATTCCAAATCTTTGCTGCAGACCCTGGAATATCATCCTTGGAAGAATGTCAACATCAGACGATACGATGTAGAGGTTCTCATGGTATGAGAAGATTGAGGGAGTGATTCTTTATGTATTCTTTGACTTTACTGATGTCTTCAAAGTGGGGGTTCTTACATGTAAATATTATTCTTTTAACCAGTGAAGCTTAGGATCAAGTCATTTAGAGTGCCAGAGCTCTTTTTTGAGGTTCCGGAAACTTCTACAATTGGGTCCTTGAAGGTATAACAATCTATAAGTTGCATTTGCATTTTACTAATCCATTTCACTTGTATGCTTCTGCCTTCATAAGTTTTGTTGGGCCACATTTTTTACAACATTTTGATCTGCAGAGGACAGTGATGGATGCAGTGACTGCTGTACTTGGGGGTGAATTACACATTGGTGTTATTCTCCAGGGAAAGAAAGTTTGGGATGACAGTAAAACCCTACTTCAAACCGGAATTTCTCATGATAATCAGCTAGATGCTTTGGGTTTCACCCTGGAGCCTAATTCCTTGCAAAGTCTACCTATTGTGTGTGCTGCACATTCTCTCCATCCTAGCGCTGACATAACACAGCCAGTAACAAGGTAATGCATAACTTCAAAATGAAGTAATGGATGTTATGGAAGATATGATTGTCAATTAGTGTTCTTGATTATTTGCGATTGAATTCACTTAATCATTCCTATTGAAATTGTATTTTTCCTTGGAAATGAGGTGTTTGTATACTTCATTCAATTATTCTCCGGTATGATTGGCATATTTTTCCTATAAATTATTATTCAGATTTTTATCTTAAAAAATATTATACAGTTTTGTATCTAAAAATGATAATTCAGGTATCCTTCGAGCCCAGCTGTTATTCATCAGAGGATTCAAGGCAATTCTGACATATTACCTGAGCATCAAGTTACCAGTTTAGGTAGCATTTTGGAAAGTGACCATGATTCAGCACCTTCTCCTATTAACGCATCTGTGGATGAAGGTACGACAGATATCAAAGAACTGGTAACTGTTCCTGAAATAGATAAGGAGGAACTAGCTATGGTACCTGTACTTCAGAAGCCAAAGCGATCTGAGGTCATACAACGCCGAATACGCAGGCCTTTTTCTGTAGAAGAAGTAGAAGCACTGGTTCAAGCAGTTGAAAAAATGGGAACTGGAAGGTAAGATTTACATTGGTTTGGCCTGACACACAGTGATATTGAGTTGGTGGTGTGCGCACTGTCTCTTTTCTTTGCAAGTACCCGGGTGTAGATAATTGTTTTCTGTATGGTATGAGTAGATGCTGCACTTTAGTACTGGGAGAGATTTCCTCTAACATTCCCTATATTGTGTTTGTATTTTCTTTTAAAAAATACGGTCAGGTGGCGTGATGTTAAACTTTGTGCTTTTGATAATGCAAAGCATCGGACGTATGTGGATTTGAAGGTAAAAACGTTTGTGACCCTTGTGCTAAGCAGCTACAGTAGTGTTACATGTTACACTTATATGACTCTTTAAATATGGTACCAGATATTGCTTGCTCAGCACTCTTTCCGGTTAGCATGTAGGTAGTCTTTAGAAAATAGAATTTGATGCATAAAAACTTACAGAAGGCTTTAAATAAGATTTTGATCCTTATAATTATCCATTCAGATTTTGGTTCCTATAGTACATTTTTTGGGCATCACCCTCTATAATTTTATTCATTTGAATTTTGGTCCCTACTCTTAAGTCCTAGATCCTTACAGTTTCCACTCTTTTGGATTTAAAGTCATTAATAATTTGTATTCATTAAGATATTGATACTTATTTTCAATGATTAGTCCTCTATACTTTTCATTTATAAATGCTATCAACACACTCTTTGTAACATACCCTTTACTTGGTTAAAATTTATTAAAAATTACAAAATTTATGTGTGTCTTGCACTTTTTTACTTCTAAATTAATGTGTTTTTTTTTTATACTTTTTTAATTTTCAATAAATTTTAGCTAATAATGAAGAGTGTGTTAGAGAGAATGTTTTTAGCATTTTTCTTCTATTTGTTAAGGTATTGGTTCCCAAGAGAGCAAGACCCACATAAATGAAAATATAGTAGCAATTTAAAAATGTGATCCTAGAAATTAAAACCTAAATGAGTAGAAAATGAAATGACCAAAATCTTATTTTAACCAAAACTTAATTATGCTGCTGTCTCTACTCTGTAAATATAACTGTAATTTTGCAATATGATTAGCGTAGTCTGGTTTGCTTATGTAGCACAGATGGCAGAGAAAATGTTTGGCATGTGATTACTGATTCGGGTTTGGGGATTGTGCAGGATAAATGGAAAACACTGGTACACACGGCAAGAATATCCCCTCAGCAAAGGAGGGGTGAGCCCGTTCCCCAAGAACTTTTGGACAGGGTTCTAGTTGCCCACGCTTATTGGTCCCAGCAGCAGGCTAAGCAACAACCCAAGCAGCATCCAGAAAGTGCCTTGTCTTTAAGGGTGTTGTCAGCAACAAGTGACCTTGTTGATGGCATGGGTGTTCTCGTTTCTGACTGTTATTAGAATGTCTTTTTTATTTTTCTATAAATGTTTATGAAATGTCTGTTCATCAATCATGTAGAAAGTGATGACTAGGAGAAAAAAACGAAAAATTATGTTGTGCTGATGACAAGGTTGTTTCCCTGCGTGGAGAGGTTGCTTCTTGTGAAAATGGTTTGATGCAATAAAGTGTCGCTAACACAATTCTTTTGACTGTATATTTAGTTGTGTATATAATTGTTATGTTTTTTACTGCTTAATAGTTGAAATCTACATTTATGGTTTACATATGTAATTTCTAAGGATACTTATGACCAATATACTCTAGTTGGAAATATATATAATTTAAGTATTAGCTAATCTCGTATCCTCTAAATAAAAATAAACAAAAAATAAAATAAAATTGCATCCACTCATTCTTATTTATTTCATACAAGTTTTAACAATTCGAATAGTGATAGCTAAACTTATGATATTTCTTTGTTTTATTTCTACCTATTTATCACTTATTATGACTCAAAACGTAAGTATACTATTTAAAGAGACGGTTCAGAGACACACCTTAGGAAAGAAAAAAAGGAAAAAAAAAGTGAAAAATATTTTCTCTATTTTGGTATCAACAAGAAAAAAAACAAACTTTCTTTAGCTTGGTTTTTTAAATGAAAAGAATTGAAAAATATAAGTAAATAAATATATATGTTAAAAAACGGTAAGATATACAGAATTACTTTTCTTCTTTTATTTTACTTTTCATTCGAAAGAAAAACAATGAAAAGCCTATACGTCCACGCGAACTTTATCAACAAAACAATGAAAAGCCTATACATTATCCCCAATTCTCTCTTCCTTTCCACTCAAAAAATGCTTACCAACAAAACTCTACTCAAAACATGTCAAATCTTGTTTTCTATTTCTTATTAAAGTGATGTTGTTTTCTAGTCAGACTGCCATTTGCTAATTGAAAAAAAAAATTGTAAATTCTAAACTTCAATGAAAGGAATATTTTTATCACACAAACAAGTTTCTTAATTTATACATGCTTTAAATTATTTATCTATATTTATGGTTATGTGATTAAACCATATTTATCTTCTTCTTTTTTTTCTTTCAAAAACTTGCTTTATAATTTTTTAACAGTCATTTCTAAACGAGGAGTCTTTAAAGCAGTAGTTTAAGATGTAAGTTTTTGTTGATAAGCTGTTTTTAAATAATAAGATTTGACTGCACAATTATTTGCATAATGTTTTATAATTAAGAAAGAAATAGAAAAAAAAATGTAAAACAGAATGAATGATATTAGTGAGAGATATAGAATTTGATTATTTATGTCACTGTTGTAGACAACAATCTCTTTTCTAGAAAGAGCCATCTCTGTTTTATTATTATATCACATCTCTTTATTATCTTTTTTGAATGAATGCAGCCATCTTGTCCCGACCAAATGAGAATGAATTTTTGGAGTGATTGAGGGCAAAGATTGTGACTGAGGAGACTGCTAATATATATATATTAGTCACTTATAATCAACTCAATTACGTTTTTTTTCCTTATTATTATTCTTCGAAGATAAATCCTAACTTAAACGTAAGTAGCTTTGTTTATCTCGAACTCCATCACTTGGAATTCCAGAAGGAACTGTAATATCCCCATTTGAGGATTAATTCAATTCCTTGAAGGTACGTTTGGAAGTTTTTTTTTTAAGGGAGAGAAAGGAGAAAATTCAATCATTTTAAATTAAAATAAATATATATTATTTATAATAATAAATGTATAATTAATATATTAGTTTATATATTTTATTTTTTCTTCCACTCCAGAAACCCCTTTCCAAATAATTTCCAGAGAAATCCTGGTGCTAATGATCATCATTGCCATGCATGAGTCAATCCACTGAAATATCAAATAATAATGAATAAATCATTTTACCTTGTTTGAACTATCAAAAGCAATAGTATTTGAGCTCGTCAACAAAAGATAGACCCTACAAAATATATATGTAGGGTGGAGAGCATTACAAATATTGATGTCAAATTTAAAATTCAATGGGTTGGAGCAGGTTTTCGTTGAATCAGTCATTGCTGTGATGACTAGGAAATGGCGTGAATATAATATAGGTTAAAATATAAGTAGACTTTGACTTATCTTTTTATAATGAAAATTATTTTTTTATCTCATTTATTTTTATTTTAATTTAACTCAAATTGCTCGGCTGGTAAATAAATTTATTATTAAAAATTTTATATATATAAATTCAAATTAAAAATTTTATTATTTAATAACTTATTAGTTCTTACAACGTAAACAATTAACAGCTATTGAGATATTCCTGTATGTTTCAATGTTTATAATAATAAAGGTTTGTAAAGCGATACTAAAGTGACTTATTTGTCAACTTTTTTATTATTGCATAAAAAATTCAAACTTTACTTTACAGAAAGTTTTTAGAGTATGCTTAATCTTTAGATTTGAAATCATTACTTATATATTTGATATTAACCATAATTTACAAGATCATTCTGTAGTCTTAGTAAGAGAAGTAAGGATAAAAAATTTATTAGATATAAAATATCACATTGTTCGAGAAACCCTAAATACTGTCGGAATAAAGAATCATCAAGCAGAGTATTTAGTGTGTTGTAGATCACTCATTAGTTAAATAACCCTTTAATTTGAATTAATTAAGAAGCTTCTTGGTTTAAATTTGCTAAGTCAGTTAGTTGCTGGTACGATTGTGCATGTAATTCAAAGCTGGCCTAATTTAGCAGCAATAAACAAAAATATTTATAATGAATAGAATAACTATATGGGATAAAATATAGTTATTACAACAACTAATTATAATTCTGACCAAGTAATCTTAGTTCAACAGATACAAGTCGAAGACCAAAAATATTATTATTACAAGTTTCATCAGAGCAGTTAAAAGCTAATTATTAAGGTGACATATGTCTTTAAATTTTGTCCTAAAAACATTTTGTAAATTAAAATAGCATTTCTTGGTTAATATTATAAAAATAATTTCATAAAATAGGGATACGTATTATAGGATGTACATATTGTGCAAACGTAATGTATAAAGATTGATGAGAATTAAACAAACAATAAAAATATACATAAAAGGATTACCCATCTGTGTTTTGGCTAATTTGCCAACTAATCACGAGTCTTTCAGCTAAACCAATACGCAAAGAAACTAGACATAATGGCTTCGTTACCCGCAGGACTTTGCTGTCTAAAATAACAAAGTTGACTACATAATTATAAACTGATAACAATTTTTCATTACAAAAAGTTATATTGTTAATTTTTATTCGGTTATGTAATCATTATTACAATTTTTTAAGGGTTTATAAGATCAAACATATAATTTATTATATATAAAACAAAATTTTTCATTTTAATTATAATATAATAAATTATAAAAATAACATGACCTTCACCCTCTCGGTTGAAATAAGAGGAAGTAAAGTAAGAAGAAAATTGAAGAGAAAATATGAAGAAATAATTTATTTTTAAATTTTATTATTTTTCTTCAATTAAATAATAAATTAATATTGATTTTTTTTTCTTTTCATTCTCTGCCCAAACGCAGAGTTGTAGATCGAATTTAAGGATTTTGATAATTAATCTTTAAGGTCAATATCTTTCCTTTCTTTATTCGAGTCTTGCTAACATTAAAATTATAAAGACAATGGTTAAGAGATATTTAATATATTTGTTAGTAGTTTTTTGGCTTACAATATTAATAATAGTTATTTAAATTAATATTTTGAACAACTCTAACTAGTTAATCTATGTGTTTAGTAGTGTTTTTTCTCCGAGCATTAGTAATTATTAAATTAATGTTTAATATAAAGGTAATGTTATTTAAGGTAATAATATTTATATCATAACAAAACTGTACTACTTTGAAGATTTGAGTTTTAAGTATAAAAAAATTATGAAAAAAATTAATCCCAAAATGTGTTTGACTTGAATATATTATTTTAAAAAAAATACTTGTAATTGAAATAAAAAATAATATTTTTTTTGTCAATAACTTTTTAATATAAAAAAAAACTCTGAAAACAATCACAACGAAACATTTACTCAAGTTAGACTGCAAGGGGATAACGAAATTTGCAAGAATAAGTTGATCTAAATTTTACAAAGATGGTGTTGACAACGGGTATTTTAAGAAAATTAAAATTATGATTTATTTATAAAAAGTATTAAATATATTATTATTTTAGCAATAGTTAATGAGACTCTTCATTGATAAATAATATACGTGTATACGAGAGAGAGAATATAAGTGTATGACGATAATTGTGAAGTAGGAATCATAAATACTAATGTGTATTTAATTATTTTAATACGTGTCAACAAAACTATTATTAAAAATTTATTATCTATATATTAATATTACGAAATATTATAATTGTTAGTAAATATTTTTTCATTATATGTTATTAAGCACACGTTAAAATGTTTTTATTTTGAGTGCAAGTTAAGATAATAATTAAATGGGCGCACGTGAGGAAACTTTGCAGTAGAAACATTACTGAAAAAAAAATACTCGAAAAGTGATGACAAACTTGAGTGCTTAAAAAATGGACATGTTAATAGAAAGGAAGGAGTTGTTGCTCAACAAAGCACGCACTTAGCATACATAGCGAACATTTGCATTTGCCATTTGCATTTGCATTTGGCTTCGAAGGTGCAGTCCCATCATTCGGTACGGTCGCAAACAGAGCAGTCTGTGAACGTTGAAGTCGAAACAATCTGTCTCAGTTATGACTGACCTAATCACTATCAGTCACAGGTTTTTCTTCTTCTTCTTCTTCTCCCATTTTTATTATTTATTTATTTATTAACTTCTTTCTAGGGTTTCTAATTTATCACAACTCTTTGCACACAAAAGATTAAATCCTCTTTTTTATGTCTTATCAAAAAACAATGTTAATTATACGGTTCTTCTCTCTGTCTCTCTTTCAGACCACAATAATAGAAGACTTGATGGATCCTCATTTCAATAACGATGTTAAATTCAACCAACTTGCCAACTCCCTCGATGTAGAGGATCAGTGCCTTGACCCTGCAAATAGGATAATGAAAACCCTCGACTTTGGATTCATGGATAATCCGTTTCTTCTTCCACCTTATCCAAACGCAGTTCAAACTACTTCCGAGGAAGACTCTCCCTTGGATGAGACTGATTTTTCTGCCACAGTCTTACGCTACATAAACCAAATGCTTATGGAAGAGGACATGGAAGAGAAGCCATGTATGTTCCATGATTTCTTGGCTCTGCAAGCTGCTGAGAAATCACTCTATGATGTCATTGGTGAGACATACCCTTCTTCTTCTTCGTCCATCCAAAACTATCACAATGTGGAAACCCCTGATGGTAGTAACTTCAGTGGTTATAGTAGTAGTGGTACAACTAGCACTAGTAACTCGGTTGAGTCTCACTGGAGTAACATTGATCTTACTGACTATAAGCATTCTATGCTGCAAACCACTTTTCCTGCTGACTTTGTTTTCCAGGCCAGTTCACAACCGTCTATGAAAACCACTAGCACCTTCACTGTAACTGATGCTGGATTCTTGGCAAGCTCTGCTGCTGGATTTTTAGATTCAAGTTCATCATTGCTTAGCAAGAGTGAGTCTGTGCTGCAATTTGAGAGAGGCGTGGAGGAAGCCAGTAAGTTTCTGCCTAAAGGGAATCCATTGATTATTGACCTAGAGAATGGCTCCTTTATCCCTTCTTTTAGTAAGGTTCCTCAGCAATTGGAGGTTAAGATGGAGAGAGATGAAAGGGAGCATCTTTCTGCTGAGTCAAGAGGGAGGAAGAACCATGAGCGGGAAGATGAAGCAGATTTACAAGATGGGAGGAGCAACAAGCACTCTGCTGTTTACTCGGACGACAGTGAAATATCAGAATTGTTTGATAAGGTTCTGTTGGGAACGAGGTGTGGAAACGAGGCAGCTCCATTGTGTAATTTTAAGGAAGACCAACCTAATGGAGCAGATGCGAGTGTGCAGCAGAAAGAAGAAACAACCAAGTTTGGTGGTGGAAAGAGCCGTGTTAAGAAACAAGGCAATAAGAAGGGAGTTGTGGATCTCAGGACACTATTGATTCTATGTGCACAGTCTGTTTCTTCTGATGATCGTGTAACTGCTAATGAAATATTAAGGCAGATACAGCAACATTCTCATATGCTGGGTGATGGAACTCAGAGGCTGGCCAACTGCTTTGCAAATGCCCTTGAAGCACGATTGGCTGGCGCTGGAACTCAGATCTATACTGCTTTATCCTCCAAAAAAACGTCTGCTGCAGACATGGTGAAAGCTTACCAAATGTATATTTCAGCCTGTCCATTCAAGAAGCTTGCATTCATTTTTGCAAACCATACAATTTTGCATCTAGCCAAGGATGTAGAGACTCTTCATATTGTAGATTTTGGCATCCGTTATGGCTTCCAGTGGCCTGCTCTTATTTATCGTCTATCAAAACGACCTGGTGGCCCCCCCAAGCTGCGCATAACAGGGATAGAGCTTCCACAACCTGGTTTCAGGCCAGCAGAGAGAGTCCAGGAGACAGGACTTCGCCTTGCAAGGTATTGTGATCGCTTTAATGTTCCATTCGAGTTCAATGATATTGCACAGAAATGGGAAACCATCAAAATTGAGGACTTGAAGATAAAGGAAAATGAACTTCTTGCAGTGAATTGTATGTTTCGATTTCAGAATCTACCTGATGAGACAGTTGTGTTGAATAGTCCCAGGGATACTGTTTTGAAATTAATAAGGAAAGCAAATCCTGCTATCTTTATACATGCTACCGTCAATGGAAGCTATAATGCCCCATTCTTTGTGACACGGTTCCGGGAGGCTCTTTTCCATTATGCTACATTGTTTGATGTGCTTGATACCAATGTTGCTCACGATGATCCAATGAGGTTGATGTTTGAGAGAGAGTTCTTTGGGAGGCAGGTAATGAACATTATAGCTTGTGAGGGTTCTGAGAGGGTTGAGAGGCCTGAAACATACAAGCAGTGGCAGGTTCGGAACATGAGAGCTGGATTTAGGCAACTACCCTTGGATCAACAACTCATTAACAAATTAAGATGCAAGTTGAAAGCTGTGTACCACAGTGATTTCATGCTTCTTGAAGATGCCAATTATATGCTGCAAGGTTGGAAGGGCCGAGTAGTTTATGCTTCCTCCTGTTGGGTACCTGCATAGTGCATTGGGCTTGACAACGTTCTTCCCAGAGTAATTAGGATAAGCGTTGCATGAGTTTGTAGGGGAGACATGGTCCATTCAGAAATGTGGGAAACATAACTTGCACTTCCCAAAAGTCTTATAGTGGACATATTCTAGAAGCTGACCCTGCTGCTGCTAGTAGCATAGCACAGTTCAGTTTCAGTAGCCAGAATATTTTAATTGGTTAAGTGTGTATCATATAACGGATGCTTGTGAATGAACATATTTTGGATGTTGAACTCTTCCTTCTTGAATTCCTGGGATAGAATAGGCAGTCATAAGTAACAGAATAGAGTGAGATTTTATCTATAAATTGAGCTACAGTGACATACATCCCACACTTATTTTGGTGAGGGCCACAGAAGAGTTTTCTTGTACATCTCAATATTATAAATTTGAATCTCTAATTTTAAGAGGGAAATGACTAATGTGCACACTGTTCTTACATAACCTTGTGTCTTTCTATGTATGTTTTTATATTGAATTCATATTTTATTCTCTTTAATTAGTGATTTAATTACTGGAGTGTTTTGCTTTCTTTAAATTTTTAATCAATACTTCAGTTTATTAAATTAGCATTAGACTTAAGTATGATATTTGTAAATACTTGCTATAAAATTATTTTCTAGCAATTGAATTATTTTTCTTCTTAAATATTTCTCAATTTATATTTTTATTATCTCATCTTAGTTTTAAAACACCAGGGTAATGCAACTGATGTTTACTACAAAAAATAATGAGTGGGATATTCTCCCTTTAACCATAGAAGAAAGGGTGTGAGAATTAATGCAAAGATATTCGTTGAATTTATGTTCAGAATCAAATATTATAAAAAAAAAAAATTAGTGTTACTTAAGGCTCTTTGAACTAATATAATTATTCTCTTATAACCGACGAACAGTAGGGTTAGGTAAAAAATTTAGTTTTATAATTTCATTCATAACTAATATTAAACTGATTTTAAAATTTTAGATTCATGTTAAACTGATTTTTTTAATTAATTATAGTTGTGTAACTAGTTTAGTATTTTAAATTTACTTTTTAAAATTATTTTTTTAATCTAAATTCATATGTATAAAAAGTACTATCTTATGTCTTTATTTGTTAAATTTATACGTTATATTAGCTCACAAAAAATTTATCTTCACTACTAATATTTTTTATTAATCTTAATTTTTATAATTAAAATTAAATATTTAAAATAATATTTTTAAAATATAATTATTATATTAAAGATATTAAAATATTAAAATATTTTTAAATTAATTATTACTATTGTTATTATATTTATGTTTATTTTTTTATTTTTGAAATATTATAATATAATAATTTTATTATTATTTATATTATTAATTTTTATTTTTTTAAGTTTTAATTTAAACTTTTATCATCAATTTTGTTTATTAAAAATAAGTTAAAAATTATAATAAATATTTTATAAATTTTTATAAAATATAATATAATTAATAAATATTAATAAAATCTACTTAAAACGCAACAGTGCATACAACAAATTAATTTTACCTTAAAAATTAAATTCATAAATATGTTGAAAACCAGTTTTACTTTAAAAATTAAATTTAAAACTAAATTTAAAACTAGTTTTAACAAAAATTAAATTTAAAACTGATTTTAAACTAAATTTAAATTTTAAAAATACTTTTAAATCAATTTTAAAAAAAATAAAATAATTTAAAATTTAATCCATATAATTAGTTTGTGTGGTGGATAGATGATAAAAAAGTAAAATATATACAAATACTTATTAGTTTAATACAATATTAAAATAAAAAAATTTATATTATTAATATATTAAAATATATGTAAATATAATTTTATATTAGTTATTATAAAATTTAAATATTTTTTAATATAATAATTCAATAACAATATAAAAATTATTTATAATATATTTTTACTAAATTTAAAATTAATTTAAAATTAAATTTAAACTAATTTTAAATAAAAATAAAATAAATTGGTTTAAAATTCAATTCATATAATTAAATTTTAAATGGATCTAGATTAGTATTTTAAAAATTCAATTCACACAAGCCTTTAATGAAAATTACAAATTATAGTTTCATGACTAATATATCTTGCTTTTCTTATTCACATTATTAGTTAATTGATATTTTTCTTATTGTACGATAAGGTATTTTCAAGCCAATGGTTTCGAAGTTAATTTTTTCAAGTCACAAGTATCAAAACAAATTTTCTTTTTTTGACAATTTTTTTTTCATACTCAGTCATGAATTAAATCTTGATTATTATATTTAAGGGGTTCAGCTTTGAAAAGTATAACCGTTTATTAGATTTTGAATCTAACAATAAACCAACAATAACTAATCGTAGTTTTGTGAAGATTCAAATGCAAAGCTTTCATAGATAACACTTTACCTATTTGGTATGGTAGTCAAACTTCGTGTTCATTTTAAAGTCAAGTTATTAAACATAATTGAGATACGTGTTTAGTTTATTTCAGGCACAAGCTTTACATTTTAATGTGTGCACTATCAGGGAAACTGATTCTACGAGTCAAACAAATAGCTCTTTATTCATATTGATTGGTTTATTTTGTATGAACAGTAATATATTATAATGTTTTTAATCTTTGCAAATATGGTTTAATTTAATTAGTCCTTTAAAGATATCTTCATTGGTTTGAATCTCCATAAGTTTTAAAACTTGAAAAAATAACTTGTTATTACTTAGTCATAACATGATATATATTTAATTATTTTATATCAGATTATCAATTATCATTTTTTAAATTGTTGGTGCCCTGTAATCATTCAACAGAGAAAAAAAAGAGATGTACGTGAAAAATGGAAACTGACTTACTCTTCACGTCGTGACGATTGACCAAAGAACAAAGTCTTGGCTTCGCAACCAAGCAACCACATCCTGTTGGCTGTCCTTAGACCACTCTAGATTTTATTTGTGTGTAGATAATAATAACAATATAATTAATTGCAATAAAATAATTTATTTGTAAGTAACATTAGTAAATATATAAATGATCTCGTTCTAAGTTGATATATGTATTAATAATTATGTTATAAATTTGAATTTTCTTAGCTAAGAAGTAATAATAATTTGTATATATAAATATTTATAGTTACATTTAATATAAAAATTAGTTTTTCTAAATTTTATTTTCATATTAAAAAGGTAGGAGTTAATGTTAAATTGAAAATATAAAAAGATTACTTAAATTATATTATACAGACTTTAAAAATTGTAAATATTAGTTTGTGTATAGATGATATCGTCTTTATTCAATTTCAAAGTATTCATATCTTTGAATATATTTGAGATAAAAATAATCACCTAATGTTGAAAGTTATGAAGTGTTAATTTTATTCTGAGTGAATTGAAAGGTGTTTAATATAAAAATTTTACGTATGAAGTTGGTCAATTTTGATGATCATTACATTAGTTGAGATGTGAAAACTCTAGAGGTACATCTTTTACTTTTTTCTTAAAGAGTATATGATTACTCTTTAAAATGTAATTATCTCATGTTTTTGTATTAAGAGTTATGCATAGTTACTACTATTATTTTTAATTCTTTTATTACAACAAATTCATAAAATTTAATTTTAACAAATAAATTACTATTAAAATAATTTTTAAATATCAATTTTATCTTTGTAGTAATCATAATTCATAAGTTATTCATGATGAATTTTTATCAATAACAACAATCACATATAACTCAATAATAGTTTATTGTTGATATGTACTTATTACATAATGAATATCTTTGTAATTATATATCTTTAAAGTTGTATATTGACTAACATTTTTATAAAAAAATATAAAATTAATCTAAAAATAACTCGAATAGGATTAAAATTAAATTTAAAATGAATTTTTTTAAAACTTTAAAACCTACTCCTTTTGTCTAAATCATTTTGTTATTTTTTCAAAATTAACTTATCATTTTTTTCGTATATTCTACCATTCTAATATATAATAATAATAATTTTATTCATTTATTTTTAAAATAAAAATTAAATAATACATTATTTTTTTAGTTAAAATCTGAAAAAATTACACTCATTCCTCTCTTAAATAAATATATCATTTACTTATTTAATTTAAATTAAATCAACTATAACTAAGTTCATGCTTATAAATTAAATAGCAGTAGTATATTCATAACAAAAATTAAACAGAACATACCTTGTAAAGCTTTCAAAATTATCTCATATATAGAGAAAATTAATTTAGAACAAAGATGTATCTACATTAAAATATTCATGAGATAAAACGAGTGCTGCCCGTTAAATTTTGCCATTAATTTTTTTTTCCTAATTTGTGTCGTGTTATTTTCTCACGTGTTTTATCCCTTTTGTGGTGAAAAATAGTTAGGTTATGCCACGTGTCGTAACTTTCCAAGTTTCTTTGTTTCTTAATGCTAATGGCAAAACTTTTTTTTGTTTTATTTTTACCATACCTGTGGCAAAATTGATAGATGGTTAAGATGTGGCAGCGTTTGAAAAACTTTTAACATATGGTAATATTTATAACAGAGAAATAGTTTTAAAAATTAATAAATAGAGAATTTGTTTTTTAAAATATATTATTTAAATAAAAGCCAAATTAATATTATAACTTTGTTTATTTTAAAAGGAATAAAATAAATTTAAAAATTCAAATATAAATTAAAGAAAAATATAAGAGAAAAGGAAAAAATTCATAATTAATAATATTATAAAATATTAGATAATAATACCTAATTTAAACAATGAGGCGATGAAAAAAGTTAATTAATACAATATTTGTCATAGATATCAAATTAAAATTATGTATATGTGTATACGCTTGATTTGGATTATTTTTTAAAAATTAAATTCAAATTTTGACTTGATACTAAAAGTACAGTTTTAGTTTGACATGTTTTCAAACTTTTTAATTTAGTACTTCTATTTAATATTAGATTGGAATTGACTTATGAATGTTGTTAGTTTTTTTAATGACTTCTATATATTTTTATAAATATAGTAAATACAAAAGGTATAAATACCATTTTTAAAAGATAAAATAATTAAGTTAGTATTTCGAACTAGAGTTGTATATAGATTGAATTTTCAAAAAAAATTTATATTTATTTAAAATCTAATTATATAGATTGAATTTTAAATCAATCTATTTAAATTTTTTCAAAATCAATTTAAACTTGGTTTTAAACTAATTTTAAATCTAGTAAAAATATATTATAAATATTTTTATATTATTATTAAATTATTAATTTAAAAATTATTTAAATTTTATAATAATTAATATAAAATTATATTTACATATATTTTAATCTACTAATAATATAATTTTTTTTGTTTTTATATTATATTTAACTAATAAGTATTTTTATATATTTTACTTTTTATCATTTATATATCATACAAACTAATTATATGCATTAAATTTTAAACTATATTTTTAATTAGTTTAAAAATAGTTTTAAAATTTAAATTTAGTTTAAAATTATTTTTAAATTTAGTTTTGTTAAAATTTAGTTTTAAATTTAATTTTTAAGATAAAATTGATTTTTTAATACATTTATAAATTTAATTTGTAAGGTAAAATTAATTTATTGCATGTATCATTGTATTAAATTAATGCATTTTAAGCAAAATTTTATTAATATTTATTAATTATATTATATTTTATAGAATTTTATAAAATATTTATTATTATTTTTAACTTATTTTTAGTGAACAAAGTTAATAATAGTTTAAATTAAAACTTATAAAAATAAAAATTATTAATATAAATAATAATAAAATTATTATGTTATAATATTTTAAAAATTAAAAAATAAACATAAATATAAAAATAATAGTAATATTTAATTTAAAAATATTTATTATATTTTAATATCTTTAATATAATAATTATATTTTAAAAATAATATTTTAAATATTTGTTATATAGTACTGAGATTTAATAAGTAAATACATGAAATAGTATCTCTTATACATATATATTTAGATAAATATAAAAAATTCAGATTTAAAAAGTAAATTTAAAATACTAAATTAGTTATACAAATATAATTTATAAAAAAATAGCTTAATATGAATTTAAATTTTTTAAATCAGTCTAACATTAGTTATAGATTTATCTCACTCTGCTTAGAATGAGTTTGAGTCTAACTTTAATATAGTTAAAATCATATAAGCACAAATATATCGTTCAATAATTTAAATTAGTTTTAAATGTATAAATTATCATAAATATTAATGATACGTTTCTAAATATGTATATATATATAATTTAAATTTTATTCTTTTATTGAGTAAATCATATATGGATTTTATTCACCAAAATAAATTTTCAAATATTTTTTTAAAAAAACTCAAACAACAAAATAAATAATGCTCTATCATTTTTATAACATTTCTAGTAGTCATAGCAAAATTTTTGTTCAAAAATAAATAATGAATTAAATTTAAAAAAAATATCATTTAATTTTTCATTTATTGGTCGAGAGATTAATGTTAATCTAGTATAAAAAAATTAAATTAATGGAATAATTGAAATATGCCAGAGTTGTACGACATTATGTGAGTATTTATACGCACAAATATAGTATTCATACGTTATGAGGATGCCTCTCCCTTTTCTTTTTCGACAATAACGCCATTCTCGGAAGTTTCGCGGTGTTCTCCTCTATCCAAGTCCAACTAACCAACCCGTTTATGTTCATAGTCAAAACGATAATATCGACAAAAACAAATTAGTCAAAACAATAATTATATTAATATAATTATTTATGTCGCAAGGAAAGACATATTGCTAGTTAAGGGTAAGGCTGCTGCTACTGCTGAATGTTAGTACAGAGTAACACGCCCTCACCAATCATCGTTTCAGCGTTTCTTTCTCTTCATTCGTCCTTCTTTCTCTCTCTCAGCCCCCAAATCCAACCCTATCTCCAAGCCATCATTTTGAGCGTTGGTGACTGTTACGATGGACGCAAACTTTCCCGAAGCTAGCGATATCTACCATTTTGGTGAAGACGGGAGCATTCTAGCTTCGGATCCAAGTCAATACCCAACGGACTGGTATGTCTCCGAATCACTTGCTTTTGCAACCACCGACCCTTCGTCCGTGGCAGGGACGGATCCTTCGTTGGAAGACAACGATTTTTCAGAAACTGCTAAGTTCATAGGCCAAATACTGATGGAAGAGAACGTTGAACAGAGACCCTTCTATGACTCTCTCAGCTTGCAAGTTACAGAGAAATCCTTCTACGATGCTCTCACTGATAACGCTTCTCTTTCCCCTAATCAACACCCTCTTGTTCTCAGCCCCGAAGGTGGAACCAGTAGCAGTAGCAGTAACAGTAACAGTAACAGTAACAATAGCGGTAACAACTTTTCGTATGAAAATTCTCATTTGTTGAAGCCTCCTTCTCCAGACTCCCCTGTTTCTATCCCTGTATTTCAGTTTAATTCTCATGTTGTTTCTCAATCGCCACCACCTTCCCTTAGTGTTAATGATGGACTTTTACATTTGGATTCTTCTATTACCAAACTCTTGGCACAAAATATTTTCAGTGATGTTGATTCTGTTTCCCAGTTTAAGAGAGGGTTGGAGGAAGCTAGCAAGTTTCTTCCGCCGGGGCCGAAGCTTGTGACGGGTCTAGAGCCTAAGGGAGGATCATCTGATGTAGTAGAGGATTCGATCGGGTTGAGAAGTAGGAAGAATCATGAGCGCGAAGAGAGTGATTTCAGACAAGAAGGGAGAAGTAGTAAGCACTCTGCGCTTAGCGTTGAGGATGAGAGCGATTTGTCTGATGCTTTTGATAGATTGTTCGTTAATGTGGGAAATGTGTGTACTGAAAACTATTATTTGCAGCGTGAAACAGTGAATGCTGAGCAGCGAGGTGAAAAGGGTGAAGGAGGGAAGGGTCGTCCTAAGAAACAAGGAGGGAAGAAGGAGACAGTGGATTTGAGGAATCTTCTGCTTATGTGTGCACAAGCTGTGTATGCCAATGATAACAGGACTGCTAATGAATTGTTGAACCAGATTAGGCGGCATGCTCTCCCCAATGGGGATGCATCACAGAGGTTAGCTTATTACTTTGCTAAAGGCCTTGAGGCGCGTTTGGTTGGTGATGGTACGGGTGCACAAGGAATGTTTTCCTCTCTTAGTTCCAAGAGGATCACTGTTGCTGAGCTTTTGAAAGCACACCAAACTTTTCTGTCTGCTTGCTCTTTCAAGAAGTTTACATATTTCTTTGCTAATAAGATGATTATGAAAACAGCCGCAAAGGAAGAAACCCTTCATATAATTGATTTTGGTATCCTCTATGGTTTCCAGTGGCCAATACTTATTAAGTTTTTGTCAGATAGAGAGGGTGGACCTCCTAAGCTGAGGATCACAGGGATAGAGTTCCCTCAACCTGGCTTTCGTCCCTCGGAGATGATTGAGGAGACTGGTCGCCGTCTTGCTAACTATTGCCAGCGTTACAATGTTCCCTTTCAGTACCATCCCTTGGCATCAAGGAACTGGGAAACCATTCAGGTTGAAGACCTTAAAATCGAGAGCAATGAGGTAGTTGCTGTGAACTGTCTGATGAGGTTTGAAAATTTACTGGATGAGACTATTGAAGTGAACAGTCCTAGAAATGCAGTCCTGCATTTGATCAGGAAGATAAATCCGGCTATTTTTACTCACTCCATTGTCAATGGATCTTATAATGCCCCTTTCTTTGCCACACGGTTTAGGGAGGCGCTGTTCCATTTCTCTACTATTTATGACATGTGTGACACTGTCATACCTCGTGGAAATGAAATGAGGATGATGATTGAGAGGGAGATTTTGGGCCGGGAGGCTATGAATGTTATAGCATGCGAAGGTTCTCAGAGGGTTGAGAGGCCTGAGACATACAAGCAGTGGCAAGTTAGAAATACGAGGGCTGGTTTCAAGCAGCTCCCACTGAATGAGGAATTAATGGCCAAATTTAGGACAAAGTTAAAGGAATGGTACCACAAAGATTTTGTCTTTGATCAAGATCAGAACTGGATGCTTCAAGGTTGGAAGGGTCGCATTTTGTATGCTTCCACATGTTGGGTGCCAGCATAATGAGATGCTATTGGACTCTGTTAAGTACTCATACTAGACTAAAGGTATGATTCTAACAATCAGTCATTAGCTTTTTCTCTATCCACTTTTATAATTCTTATTTTCCCTGTTGAAGTTGAGCTATAGTTCTTCTTAAACTTGAGATATTTCAGCATTTATGTTCCAATGGTGAAGCTTATTTTGCACGTTAAATGGTTTCAGGTTATGGTATCCTAGGTCTTACCTACTTGCTTAACCTTCACGTGCTGTGATGAATTATACGAAGCTTTCCACTAAGTTACTCGGTAATATTATGACACGACTTTTGTGGTAGAGTTGAGACTAGAATGTAATGCAAGTTCTATGATGATAAGGAGCGCATTTTAGAGTAGGAAGGTCCTTTAGCATGTTTGCCTGAGTATTTGCAATCAAAATGTTATTAGTTTTTTTCTCTCTAACCAACATGTATTAGATTTCACATCCTTCTAAATAAATTTGTAGAATATTTTTCCAGGATACATTGTTTCTTGAGCCAAATTAGCTACTTAATTGACAAGATATGATTAATTTGAAACATATGACTATGTTAAGTTAGCTCTTTTCCAGTGATAGTTATTGCTAGTCTCCTTCATAATTTTGTAATTTTGTTTTATCGCAGCAACTTCTATTTAACTCATGATTTCCACTCATGGCATCTGTAAATATGGCTGGTATTTGTTCCACTAACCAATAACTCATATTTATTATCTATTGCTGCTACATAAACTAGAATATTAGTCCGATACGAATCCTGACAAATGCCAGCTTCCCCTAACCTTTTCTCCCCGCCTTAACTGCGCCACCAAAAGCAAAGTTTTGAACTTCTAACAGAGCTTAACAATATACTCCAATAACTTCTATGGATCTTGTAATTTGCATACTGTTTGATTGCACAATTTTTTATATTTTTCAATTAAGAGCTATTAATGGATTGAATATTGGGTTTTGATGCTGTTAGCTAAGATGCTTTCTTATTTAAATACCATTGCAAAAGTGACGTGGCCTATTCATAAAACCACTTTTCCTGGAGCTGGAAGCTTTGCCCTGTGATTTGTTTTCTTGCTTGTCAATTGTCTGTTGGCTGTTTCTCATATTGTGAAATATGCATGACTTGAATTGCTTAAATGAAGCTGGCAATTTCTGTAGATACTCAAGACTAAAAAAAATTTGAAAATTTCATGAAATTGTGAACTCTTTCGAGAACTTGATAGATCAAGGGTTACTTAAGTTTGTAGTCATCGCGCGTGATTAGATTTTAGGGATTGAAAATCCATGCACATTTCAATGACAATGATGAGTCCATCGTAAACTAACTCTTTTCACATTTATGAAGAGCTCCGTTTACTTTTGTCGAAGGAAGAAGCAAAGACCAACATAACTCAAATTTTAATGGAAATAAAATTAAATTTTGGTATGTTTACTTGAGTAGTAGCATTAAATGTGTGTGTTGTTCATTTAAAAAGTTAATTGAATTTTTAGTTTAAATTACACGTATTTTTCTTTTTTATAAAAAGTAATCTTGTCTCCACAGGATGATGAGTAACTTTCAGAAGACATTCTTTTATACAAATCTTAAATCAAAATATTATTCAACAAAATTCAAATATAAACCATCTGAATCAGCCTTTTGTTAACATCTAATTAATTTATGGCACGGATAACTATCAAAGTACTAAATTCTTTTAAAAAGAAGTATATTGTAAAACTTAAACTATAAGGAGATAAATATGATAAAGATGGCATGTTCATAGAAATAAAGAAAACAAAATTAATTTTCTCAAAAAGGAAAAAGTGTACCGATTTATATAAATATTGACAATATAATTCATTGAATAATTTTCCCGGATATTCGAATCTAGTGGGAAACCACCATGGGAAAAGTTAAATGACAGAGAAAATGCATTCCATGCATAGTTTCTGTGGATTGACTCCCTCTCCTAGTCTCTTCAATGGAAAAAGTCTCTTTCCTCCAACCCATGAATCACGATGAATTTTGAAGCTACGTCATAATGGTGTTGACAGATACACAACTTAGGGGCATGTATCTATCTAATAAATATATGGTTTTCTTCCTTCTCTAACTATCAGGGAAATTATTAAATAAACCTTAGAATCAGATTAAAATATTAAACATTAGTTAATGTATGGACGAGAGAAACAATCATAGAGTAAGTGGAGTAATGGTGTAAACCAAATAATTAAAGACGCGGATTTACGAGAACCACATGTCTTTTACTTTTCGAATTTCAAATTCGGTTCAATTTTTCAGTAACATATTGATGAAAGTATCAAGGACAAAGAACAAGACAAAATACAAAATTATCTATCAAATGCCACAATCTGTGCATTATAGTCCAACCCTAGCGGGTCCCTGCAAGACCATCTCCTGTGCTGACGGCTCAAATGAAAATTATTTATGCTTGTAATTGTATAACCAACACCCATTTAAAATTAAGCTTTATTTCCTATAAAACACTCAAAGAATTCGTCAAATTTCAACCAAAAATATTTTTAAAATTTTAAAATATTAAAAAAACTACAAGCGTAATATCTTATATCTTGTAATTGCTAGCATTCTGGAGGAAGTATGCAGGTTTTTTTCTGCTTTTTTTTTAAGATAAAATAAAATAAACAATATGACTACAGTTGATGTTATGTTAGGTGGGGAGCCAGACTTCCATGAAGACCAAAACCCCAAACCTTATCAATATTATTTCATTTTTCAGTACCCTATTTCCCTTTGTTTTTTAATTGGTTCTTTGAGTGGCGACCAAGTATCAACTCAACAACAGCAGATCTACGATTTGATTCATTGATTGTTTATTTGGATTTTGTTTCTGGGTTTCACTAAAGAGAGTACCATAACTTGGGGAATAAACAAAACAAAAGAGAAAGTCGCTGCATAAATTAACTTGTATTAGGGGAATGTATCTGGATCGCTTCAATACCAAACGCAATTTAAAACTTCTAACCAATCCATAATATTGTGCGTAGAAAAGAGTAAAAAGTAAGCTTTGAATTTTCCTTTCCTTGTATGGTATGATATATAAAATAATAGGTTGAGGTTTTTGATGTGTGTGACCATGGCAAGTCAATTGCTCGGACATGGCATGGAATGATGGGACAGAATATGTTATCCCTTTATGACGATGAAATGCGTTCACATTGAATAATGGCTTTGGTCAATAACTTGATGGTCAAGGATCTCTTTTCCCCATCTGTGTGCTTTTGACTCCTCACCCTTTTTATAAGCTTTTATTTCTTATATTTTTACAACTTTTTATCTTTATTCTTTTAAGTCTTTTATTCCATTTGTTTTTTCATTGATGCTACTTCAAAAACAAAATGACATGTCACGGTTTTTTAATTAATGATGTCTTCATTTAAGAGTTACCAAAAATTAAAGATGCTGAATTTCAAAAGAATAAAAATTTAATATAGACAACTTTTTGCCTTTAATATTATTAAGCGAAAACGAGATAACTTAGCAAATTCAATATGCTATAAATAATAACAATAAGTGTTTTCTCATTGAGTAGACCTAACAGTACATGAAGTAAAATGATGTCATTTTTTTAAATATATTTTTAAATAAATTTTTAATTATTTTCCCTCTCTAATTTTTAATGATAGCGTAATTTATCATGCAAATTTTATTTAAATTTTTATAATTTTTTTATATATATCTAAATCATTTGAGACAAACAGTAATGATGTGTTTGGATGTGAGGTAAAATAAAGAAAAAAAATAAGAATAAGAACAAGAATAAAAAGATGAGAAATAAAGTAGAAATAAAATAACAAATATTTTATATTTAGATAGGTTAAAATAAGTGAAAGAAAATAATTAAATTTATTCAAAATATTTATAAATAAATTGATCATAGACATTTTTTTATTCAAAATTTGTATTTATGAATTTATTTATAAATTCTGGTATGGACAAAATTTAAACACAAGTTACTATATAATACACTTTAAATGATTGAGGAAAGAGAAATGCTAAAGGGTTTGGAAAAGTAAATTATAATTTGTGTGCAAATTGACCATGGTTTTCATTTTTAATTTATTTTATGAACTACCACGTATACTTCATATGGCTTTCGTGAGATAGTTTTTGTGTTAAATATTTCTGCTGTTTAGTCAAACATTAAATTGACTTTTAAATTACATATATTAGTATTACATGACACTAATGTAAGATAAAATAAATCAATTTTTATGAAAAATTATAATATGATATCATCAATGCATTAAATTTAGGATATATCTATTATCACATTTATATGTTTATTATATTTTTTAAGTGATTTTGTTTAAAATATTTTTCTGTTACAATTATATTTATAATAAAGATATTTTATATTTTTAAAAATTATAGTGTAGTATAGAATGTTATTATACTATTTTATTTAGATAATTTTAATTTATTTTATCGTTTGAATTAATATTTTATTATTTAAATTAGTTAAAAATTCTATTAATTTTATTATAAAAATGGTGACAATGCAACTTAAATAAAACATGATAACTTACGAAAAAATAGTTGCAAATAATAGTAAAGAATGTGTGAATTTTGTAAAATAAAAATACATCTAACAAGCTTTGTTGATATTAGCACTTTATGTGTTCAATTGATAGACTTTCTGAAGAAGGTATCCTCTGTATTGACACACCCAATGCTGAATCTTAAACAAATACACCCTGTACTCTATACTAACATGCTCCATGCTAAAATTACAACAACACTGTTAAGGGTGGGATTAGGAAGAATACGTCTCATATTAAAATACCAAAGTCTTTAATCAAAGTATGGTTAAATAGATAATGTTATTTTATGTTAAGGGCGTGCCTAATAGAACATGCCTTATACTTGAACTTGTGGCGTTAGCCATTAAAAAATTAAAGTTTTCAAGAGACTAAACTATATCTTTTGAATTATACTTTCTTAAAAAAAAGACTCTACTATTTTAAGTAAATATGCAATTAACTTATCTTTTTCTCTGCATACTAAAACTTTAAATTTTTTGTCTCAAACTTTTTTTTTATCTTATTTTTTTAACAAAATTATGCTTCTATTATAGCATATCAACTATGAGTATTTTTCTTTCTTTATTATATGTGATTATAAATTTTTTGTGTTTAGTTACCTTTATTTTTATTTTATGACTATGTGTAAGTAAAAACTTTTTGCTAAGTGGTTAAGATGAATAATAATGAGATAACTATTTTTGAACTCTCGAGTTTAATTTTATATTGTTTATATTATGATTATGTGTAACTAAATACTTTTTATCATGTGATTGAAGTGAGTTCTTATAATTTAACTATTTATGAAACTTTAATTTAATTTCATAATATTTATATTATAATTATGTAACTAAATACATTAACTTTCAATCCTAATTAATCAATTAACCAGATGATTATACCATTAATATGTTAACAGAATAAAAAATAATCAATGTTTAAATTAAGATGATCAATCTATTATTTAAACTTTCAATAAATTAATTAAGTTTAACAAATTTCATAATTCTTAATATTTTTATTTATTTTATTATTTTTTAATCATTAAGATAACATATAGATAAGAAGATTTTCATTATGCTATAATAATTTAATAATAATAATAAATTAGATAATTAATAATTATTTTAACATAATTAAATATAATTAATTTAGGGACGTAATGATACTCATAAGAAGAAATTAAAGTTTTAAATTTTTATCTATATCAAATTAATTTTGTAATTTTTTTTATTTTTTAAATTCAAACTTTACTTTAATTTAAATATTTTTAAATTTTAAATTTATCTAATATTTAAGAAATAATAGTGCTAAGTGTTAACAAATAATAATGCAAAGCTTTCAAATACTATAGTTAACAAATACATGCACTTACTTATTGATTCAAAACTTTTTACAAAGTTAAAAATTCACAACAGTATAAGTATGATAATAATTAATCTATAAGATTAATGATATCATGTGATTTTTAATAAAAATTATAAATACTTTATACACATATCAAAAGGATTAATTAATAATATTTTAATAAAATGATTAACCATAACATTTGCCTAATTATTCCCACGATAATTACAACAAAGTAATAAAAGATGGCGGCTGTGGCCTACTTTGTCTCTCTTGAATGCCTGCCTACCTTCCTTCCTAGAAACTTCAGCATGACAAGAAAGTTTTTTTTTTTTTGTAAATTATATAACAAATGATACCATAGTCACCGTTCAGTATTCACCAAGCCTCTGCCACTGCCGGTTACTCCTCACTCTTTAGTTCGATTCTCAAATTCTCCAAAAGTCTAAGGTGCACTGCCACAACCAACATAATCTCATACTATTACTGTCTTTGTCTATCTTTACCTTTTCTCTGCCTAATTTCTATTCATTCTTCTTATTTGAATGCTTATTATCCAAAAGGACTAGTGGGGGTTCATTGTTGCTTAAATTTCTGAAATTTACTCCTTCTTACTTTACTATTTTTTTATTCATCACATCATTGGTTCTGTTCCTGTTCTGTCCTAGTCAAAGATAAGATTTTTAGCACCTCTGAAACTAGATCTCTCATCTCTCTAGTTCAGATTCTGATCTTTGTATCCAACATGCTTTCTGCGGATTCCCTTTTGGAAAATCTTCCTGGTTCTGTGAATGGATTCATATTTGAGAACGGTCCCATCTCGGTATTTTCGAATCAGAACCCAGAAAATGGGTTCAAGTTGGATGATTCAACATCCCCTTCTAACCATTCAGAATCTGGCACTGATTCTTCTCCTTCTACTGCCACAAGCTCAAATGGAGAACATTCAGAGAGTAGTAAACATTCTAATCCTATTCTCAGATACATAAGCGACATCCTCATGGATGAAGAAGATGACTTGGAGCGCAAACCCTGCATGTTGCAAGATTCTTTGAGACTCCAGGCTGCTGAAAAATCATTCTATGATGTGTTGGGGCGTAGCTACCCTTCATCGCCTCATCAATCTCACGGTTGTTTCCGTGATGATAACCCTGACCCAGATGATAATTTTGGTGTGACTACTAGTTCTGAGAGTTATAGCAGTTACACCACTGATAATTCAAATGAGTCTGATTGGTTTGAGTCTTCTTTCCTTCAAAAATCTTTAGTTCATTCCCCAGAAAACGCCTATGTAACTCCTGATCCGTTTAGAGAGACACAAGGTGGTATTTATTTTTCAAATGGGGTGTGGAATATGATTCACTCACAGGAAAAGCCACACATGATTCATGAGGGTGTGATGCGGGGTTCTATGACAGCAAGAGGATCAAGGGAGAAGAGAAGCCATCTCACGAATGATGATATCTCAGATCAAGTAGAGGAGAGAGGCAACAAGCTTTCAGCTGTATACGTTGATGACTCTGAGCTATCAAGCATGTTTGATGAGGTGCTGCTTTGTAAGGATGGTAGAAGTCCATCCATTTTCTGTGAACCATCCTCATCATCATCACAGATAGCTGATTCAGGAGGATCTAATGGAAAGACAACACGTTCGAAGAAAGGTTCCAACAAGGGGACAAGTGCAAGTGCAACAGTGGATTTATGGACTTTGTTAACTCAATGTGCACAAGCTGTTGCTAGCTATGATCAAAGAACTGCAAGTGAAATACTCAAGCAGATTAGGCAACATTCTACGCCTTGTGGTGATGGACTTCAGCGTTTGGCGCATTACTTTGCCATTGGCCTTGAGACAAGATTAGCTGCTGATACACCCAAGTTCATTCTCTTTCAGTCAGCATCTGCTGCAGATATGTTAAAAGCATATAGAGTATATATCACAGCATCGCCATTTCAGAGGATGACAAATTTCTTGGCTAACCGAACTATTTTGAAGCTTGTACAAAATGAGAGCAGTCTTCACATTATTGACTTTGGAATTAGCTATGGTTTTCAATGGCCTTGCCTCATCCAACGTCTTTCAGAGAGAGCAGGAGGGCCTCCAAAGCTTCATATCACAGGAATTGATCTTCCTCAGCCAGGATTTAGGCCTGCAGAAAGGGTTGAGGAGACGGGGCGGCGATTGGAGAAGTATTGCAACAGGTTTGGAGTCCCATTTGAGTACAATTGCCTTGCACAAAAATGGGATACTATAAGACTTGAGGACCTTAAGATTGATAGGAATGAAGTAACTGTGGTTAACTGTTTGTTTAGGTTGGAGAACTTAACTGATGAAACAGTGACTGCAGATTGTCCAAGAGATGCTTTGTTAAGGTTGATCAGGAGGATCAACCCAAACATCTTCATACATGGGGTTGTGAATGGCACTTACAATGCACCGTTTTTCTTGACACGGTTCAGGGAAGCACTCTTCCACTTCTCATCATTGTTTGACATGTTTGAAGCTACCCTACCTCGCGAAGATCCATCGAGGCTTATGTTTGAGAAAGGTTTGTTTGGAAGGAATGCAATCAATGTGATAGCATGTGAGGGGGCAGAGAGGGTTGAAAGGCCAGAGACCTACAAGCAGTGGTTTGTTAGGAACCAGAGAGCAGGGTTCAAGCAAATTCCATTGGCCACAGAACTCTTGAATAAAGTTAAGGACATGGTGAAAAAAGAATATCATAAAGATTTTGTAGTTGACGTGGATGGCAAATGGGTTTTGCAGGGATGGAAAGGGCGTATTCTTCTTGCTGTTTCTTCTTGGGTTCCTGCTTAAGCAATGATCAACTCTTAATCCACTCATTGCCAAGGAAAATTGTCTTAGATCTTAGGTTAGTTTTTGTGTAAAGTGCATGACTAGGGGTATATTTATTCTTGAATTTAAGTGAACCGTTATTGTAATGTATTTCAAGTTGAATTAAGATTAAATACACTCTTATTTGTACACTTTATGAACAAGCTTATATTATAATAGAGGGGTTTGTGCCTTGTTCAGTGAATACATTTGCAATATGATATCTTCTTTCTATCGTTTTCTTTTTGTTTGTGCGTTTATCCAATTGAGTTTATGTTCAAGATATTAATGTTTAATTTGATTGCCAGCTTGTAAAAATCTCACGCTAGTTTAGCAATCACAAATATTAGTATTAGTAATATCAATTCATTTTAGGAACTGTTAGCGGCTAATATATTTGACATCAGTGATTATATATATTTTTAGCTTTTCAAAAGGTATAAATTTTAATTTTTGTCTTCATAATTTTTTCAGTTTTAATTTTTGTATTTTTAAAAATTATTGGTGCGAGTGGTAAAACATGATGTAACTAATTTCGATATCACATGTCAATTTTGTGTCACTTATCACTTTAAGTCATATGAATGAGAGATTAAAATAAATATTTTAAAAAAATATAGATATTAAAATAAAAATAATTATATAAAAATCAATATTAATTCTAAAAAAGTTAATATATCACCCAAGGATAAATTTGTAATTTAACTCTCGATAGAGAAACATCGAGACAGAGGACAATAATTTCCACAATGACAAGAGTTAAATTTGACGACCGACCAAATCTACCCCTTCCATTGTTCGGAGCTGACGCGTGACTTTCATCTCAGTTTGACTACCCCCACAAATGGAGAAATTATTGTGTGTTCCATGTTCCCCATACTCAAATTTAAAATAAATGTTAAGCTTATCATGTTTTCGGATCATACAAATTTTTTTACTATAAATGCAACTTGTTTTCTAAATAGGATAAAGTAACATATTTTGGCATCCTAAATTTAACATGTTTAAACTTATAAAAACTTAAATTGTATTTCACACCCGTTTAAAATATGTTTTATATATCTATACGTTTATTACAATAATAGCATTAGCAAAAGATTTATGTATGAAATATACTTTGTTGGAAGACCGAAGACATACAAAATATACTTTAGTGATATCTGCATCTCGCAAAAAAGGTTATATTTTGATAATTAAAGTTATTTATGAGAAAAAGAGAATATTACATTAAAAAGAAAAAATAATTATGCAAATAATTCTCATATGTGAGAAGATGGAACTCGCACGCATATATGTGATCATGAATGACAAAAAAACAATTATTTTTTAATTAGTGGATAAAGATGGTCTTAGTTGGATCAGTCTCTGACCTATTAGTCTTACGAGACACAACAGTTGAGCTTGTGTATGGAGATAAGAGAATTTTAGACGTGAAATCTGCAGCCATAAACTGACAAAGGCGTGCCTATCACCTTCCAACAATTCCAACAAAATACGTCATTAAATTAAATGGTGCTGGCAAATGGATAGAAAATTCTATAATAGACAAAACCTTTTTCTCTTTGGTCTTACATTTGTTCCTTCTTTGATGTAGAGGTGATGATGGTTATCTTCAATATCATTTCTAAACTTTATGGTCCTCACTACTCTTTCAATCATTAATCTCTTTCGAATAATGTCTCCAAAGCCACCCTCCGTAGCCATTTGGTTACTTTTCCACGTTTGAGTGCAATAATGCACCACCCGTCACCTCCAAGAGAACGCATCTACCTTACACACATCATAATATCATTTCCCACAGGAAATTATTTGGAAGGCATTTAATTTTTATCTATCTATATATATATATATATATATGCTACCGTTTATTTATAGATAATCATGTACCATTTAGAAGGAATTAATTTATTTGAACGATTTTTTTTAACTCTTAATAGGTTTTTCCGAATCTAAAAATACTTTCCTAATCATGTTAAAGTTTCATCAATAACGTTTCATATTTGTTTGAAAAAAAAAAGTTGAAGTTTGGAAAGAAAAGGTTGTCTCATTCCCAAAATTAATTAGAAACTATTTTTTATTTCAAAATGTTGCTCCTTTAACGAGGAAAAAAGGAAGTGTGGTTTTTTCACCTGATTCTTATGTGTTGAAATCTGCACCAGTACATTGAATTATATTTTAAATATTCGGGTAAAGATGATAGTCAAAATAAATCTTTTTTTTTTTAATATGGAGGCTATTTAATAACTTCATTACATAATAAAATGTTAGCAATGTATCATTTGAACATAATGGAGGGAGTGATTGGTACGACAATAAAACACAGATATGGACTATCAATCAAAAATATTTTATCAACTACCTAAATAGAGCTCAACAAGAAAAAAAAATTGATGAAAATGGTTGACACAACAAAGTAAAAAGCAGGTTAATAGAAACAAAAAGGTAAAGGATATAATAGAGACCCATAAATACCAGGGCCCAAGAACAGTCCAATCTAGCTTATCTCATGTCGGTTTTCTGAAAGAGACCAAACTATTTTTTGATGATGATGCTCTATTAGCTTGGTCATTCTTGGGTGATTCAGAGATTGCTTCCACTCGTTTCCTTTTAACGTTGCCATTAGCATTATAACTTCTTTTGTCCAATTTAGAGCATTCTGGCCTTCAATTGAAGAGCTATTTTCTCTGAAACAATGCAGATAGAATCAAATTTAAGAAATAATCTGAGATGTTATCTTCAGCAGTCAGTTAATTAAGCTATTACACGATCAAGTCTTATCCACCCATTACACGATCCAAAAGATTTTTTGTGTTCTTGAACGTAGTTGAAAGCTTTCTCCTTGCCACAGTAATTTCCAAGTTGGAAACTTCACCTTTATCTCCTTTACGTGGGGCAGGAACAAAATTTACACACACAGATAAACACGGGTTAGTTAAAAAGGAATTTTTTTTCAAATTTTGATAATATATTTTTGAGAAATGAATAAAATATCCATAAGGCAAAAAGGAGACGACGAATATTGGACCATGAGTTCAGCCCAATGATTTAAGCCCGTAATTGGTAAGACGAAAAAATTAATTGGATGGCTTGTTCAAATAATAATAATAACAATATACCTTCAAATTTTATAATATAATTTTTCTCTTTCAAATGATAATATATCTTTTACTCAACGAAATCGTTGCCACTCACAATAGTCATGTTCAACTGAAATAGAATTATCTCCAATGTATACATGTAGTATAAATCAAAAAATGAAAAAATATTTTTAAAGAAGTATATTTGTTATGTACTTTTGTATATTAAATTATAATTTTATTTATTTATAATTTTCTAATAAGTTTAAATAATATTTTTTAAATTTTAATTTTAAATCTTGACATAATTTATCAAATTATACACTTGGAAGAAGACTTTTGCCACCAAAGTGATCCTACTTGAGTCTTTTACAGCCAAAGCCAATAATGTTGAAGTAAACATGAGTCTTTATATAGTTAAAAATAAAATCAAATACGTTAAAAGTTATCTTAATCTTAATTAATTTAAATTTAATTTTAAAATTTTGAATTTTGACATTAAATTCTTTTTTGGACTCAATCTTAATTTAAATTTTGAAATCTTAAAAAATTATATTTTAAAAATATTATCTCTATTTTATTTTATTTAATATAATAAATTATTTATTATTATTTCTGAAAAATATTTTAATTTATTAAATTAAAAAACAATACAATATACCTTAAATTTTTAATTTAAAATTTATTTTAATTTACAATATCCCTACAATATACTGTAAATTCACTACTCGTTCAATATACTGTAACAAAATTACTAAATTTATAAATTTTGAAAAAAAAAAAACTAAATTTCGTAGATATTCTAAAATCTTCATAATTTGAAATTAACATTTATTTTTTTATTTAATGTAATACAATATTTAATGATTATCATTATTATATCATTCACTATTTCTTAAATTTATAAAATTTTAGAATAATGATATAATATACTTTAGATATTTATAAAAAAATATTTTAATTTAATATTATCTATATAATACACGAAAATTAGGTAAGGTTACTGTTAAAGAAAATTGTGGCGGTTGAAATCACTGAAAAAACAAATTTTCTAGTGGTTTATAACCAACAGCAAAATAAATCACCACAAATATTTTCGATTAGGTTTTAGGTACTGATGAAAAATATTTATTATATTTTTATAACTTTAATTCACTTTAATATAAATTTTAAACTGATATCGAATAAAACACTTTATTAGACTAAGTTCTTTCCTTTTAAAAAAGATCAAAGGTCAAAAGCTCTAGGACATAAGTAACCCTACCCTCAAGTTCCTATAAAAACTTGGAACCTTGTTCATTCAGAGTTGACTGTGTCACTTCGCAAACGTTGATGTTCTTTTTTTCATCGTTGATCATCCATTCAAAGGTAGACGTCATGTTTCAGAGAGTTTATGATCACCTACTGAAACCTTTTCTTGTGTTCACCTTCTAATATCGTAACAAATTGTTGCTATAACAAATTGCTGTTAACAAGGCTTAACAAACAGTTTGTTATTTAAATTCAAGCTGTTATAGGAGTTGTTATTTTAGATTTATTATATCTGTTAGAATTGTTAAATTTTTCAGCAACAACTTCATGTATTTATACAGCATATTATTGGGAAATACAACATCGCAGAAAACTATTTTACATGGTATCAGAGCGTGGCCGAAAACCTTGAGACCTGCACATGGAAACCCCAACAAATGGTGGTGAGAGTGCTGCGACATCTTCAGCAATTGAAGATGCTCAAAGAAAGAAAACTTCTCCTTATGATCTCAACTCCAGTGACAATCCTGGAAACATAATTGCTCAGGTGCAATTGAAAGGTGATAACTATGATGAATGGGCTAGAGCTATAAAGAGGTCATTGAGAGCCAGAAGAAAGTGGAGTTTCATTGACGGAACCATAGCAGAACCCAAAGAAGGATCCCCACATTTTGAAGATTGGTGCACTGTCCAAGCCATGTTGGTTTCATGGATCTTGAATACAGTAGAACCAAAACTGAGAACTTCCATATCATACTTGGAAACAGCCAAGGAGGTGTGGGATGACATTAAAGAAAGATTTTCCATTGTGAATGGACCCTGTATTAACCTGTTGAAATCAGAACTAGCACAATGTAAGCAAGAAGG